GGGGGAGAGACGGATGGTGTGGAAGACTGATATTGACGACAGAGGACGGGAAGGTTAGTTGCTGCTTCTGTATGCCTGTGTGCCCCGTTCTCCTTATTTGAGATGCCTCTGGTCCCCGTCCTCACCCATATAGTATCTTCCCTATCCCGTTATGCCGTTATGGCACCTGTTTGATTAGTGATGATAGCATTCGTTTCGTTCAGTCACATGGGAAGGTGTTAAATACTGCGACAGAACAAGCGACGCAGTCGGTGTGACTGCAAATGATATGCTGCGTTGCTTTGTGCACTAATCAGCCCAATATCCCTTTCGTTTCTGTCACATGCGTGCCGTGCAGTCACACGGCAGGTGGAAGTGGATGAGTCTGGGAACGGAGTGGTGGCAGCAGCTGTGGAAAATGCAGGAGAGGGGGAAGGAAAGGGGGAAGAGGACATAGATAGGGATGGAGCGATGGGGGGAGGCGAGCCCTGCAGCACACCCGAGGAGGCCGACGCGCCGAAGCAGAGCACAAGGTATGGCCACTTATCTGGTTTACGTGTAACAAGAGTATTTTTGAGACGTCTCAAAAATCCTCTTGTTACAAGCAGAGCGCAAGGTATGGCCAATTCTCTGGTCTAGTCTGGTTTGTCCAATCTAAGTGCTTCTGAGAATAGCGATCCAGGTGAAAGGAGACGTCAAGATGACATTGATAGGGATGGGGGAGTGGGGGGAGAGGAGCCTCGCAGCCCACCAGAAGAGCCCGATGCGCCGAAGCAGAGCCACGCGTATGGTGAAGTGTTTTGAGACGTCTCAAAAAACTTGTTCATACACGAGGTATGGAATGGTTTAGAATCTTCCATCGCTTCCCTCCCTCGTCGGAGGTCCCTCAAAATACCTTCATGTGTAATCCCATAACCTCCCCATTTACGACTCTCGGTCGCGCCTCCCTCCCCTTCCCCACCCTCCTCCCTTCTGCCTCTCTGTCAGCCTTTTTGTTTGCCTATCTGTCCATCAGTCCGCCCCACCTCTAGTGATCATTTGGTTTGTTTACCTCTAGATTCATATCATATCATATGGTATCATATAATATAATATCATATCATATCATATCCCATCCTGTGTGCGAGTGTCCTGTACTGGATCTTTTCCTTCCTGAAGTGCCATTCAAGGCCAATATCTCTGCTGAAGTGCCATTGTATGCGTCTTGATGGGGTTCTGTTGTTAATCTTCCCTTATCCAATGGCAGGCACTCAACCAAAGCTTCTGCTGCTGCTAGCAAGAAAGGAGGAAAGGGGCAGGGAAAGGGGGCAGCGGCTGCAGGGGCAGGGAAAGGGGCGGCAAAGGGTGGTGGGAAGGCTGCTGGAAAAGGGGGTCCTAAGAAGGGGCAGGGAAGCATCATGTCATTCTTTCAAAAGCTTACTTAAAAAAAAAAAGGTTGACAAACAGAGCGATGATAAAGTTGAGGGTTTTAGTCATCGACATAGTTTTGCTTTCATCCGGTTTATTTCACATCAGTCAACTAGAAAAATGCAAACTGCATTCTAAGATATTCGTATAATCATTAAAGAAACATGTCTCTCAGCCTCAACATCTTCGTAACATGGGAACCAAGTTCGTCACTTTTCGCGATTCCCCTACCTAATCGCGCCCCTCATACATGCTGGTTGTTGGGCTTTCCATTCACCGTAAGAGCCATTTCCATCGATCCCGAACCTTTTTGAACGTGTAAAACCTTACTCGACCGTATTAAAGTGTACTCTTGACTAGATTGCCAATTTCTTTCCTGTTCGCATCCCTCCCACCCACCTCCCAGTTTTTGCCAGAAATCCTGCCCACCCAAGTTGCACGAACTGCTTTTGCGTTACAACCGCGAAAAGTATTGCTCCATATTCAGCGGCCTTCGCGCCTTACCTAACTGTCATCAATGCCTTGCTTGTAAGAGTGACGTTACGCCACATTATTCCCAGTTTTCGGCTGCGTTTCGCCTGCATTTCGCCATAGCCACATTTCGCCGCGCACATTGCGATATGCCGTCCGCCTCGCACCACCCGCGCGGAGCCTTTTCCGCCGCGCCCAGCTCTCTAACTTCCGCATTTTTCGGAAACAATGGCCGCGTCGCGGCGCAAGCGCTCTGCGTACTCTTAATCCTCACCCTATGCCTAGTCTACACCACGACAAACGCCACGAGCCGCGAGCCGTCCGATTTGATTCAGCAGCCGGGCGGGGGAGACGCGGGGGCGGTCGGAACGGGGGGAGGCGGAATGGGGGAGGCGCGGGAGGTGGAGATGCGGCGGGAGAAGGAGGAGGCGAATCTGGTGCGGCTGAATAGGCTGGCGGGGGGCATGCCGGGGAGCGACGTGCGCGGATGGATCCTCTCCCCCATGCACATGGCCGCGGCGCACGGGCTGGGGGGTGAGTTGCATGGGGGGTAGTGTGGGGGATGGGGGGAAGGAGGGGAGGGAGAAAAGGGATAGAGTGGGGGGGAGAGTACGCGGATGGATCCTCTCCCCCATGCACATGGCCGCGGCGCACGGGCTGGGGGGTGAGTGAGGCGCGTGGGGGGGAAGGGGGAAAAGGGGGGGGGGGGGGGAAGCTAAGGGAGGTTGGGGAAGAATCCGCGGATGGATCCTCTCCCCCATGCACGCGGCTGCGCAGCATGGGCTGGGGGGTGATTTGGGGGAGGAGAGGTGGGAGGGGAGGAAGGGGAGTGAGGAAGTTGGGGAAGCGACCAGGGTAAGGGGACTGGGGGTGGGGAAGAGTGCGCCGATGGATCCTCTCCCCCATGCACGCCCCGGCGGAGCATAGGCTGGGGGATGAGTTTGGCGGGAAGAAAGGGGGGGGGGGGGGCGAGAGAGGGAAGAGGGGGCAGGGGGGGAGGTGGGTTTTTTTCTTCTTCTTTTTTTAACACAGGTGTTACATTTTCTGAGAATGCACTTGCGCTTCCGTCCGCACCATGCCATGCATCCCATCCCATCCCATCCCATCCCATCCCATCCCATCCCATCCCATCCCATCCCATCCCATCCCATCCCATCCCATCCCATCCCATCCCATCCCATCCCATCCCATCCCATCCCATCCCATCCCATCCCATCCCATCCCATCCCATCCCATCCATCCCATCCCATCCCATCCCATCCCATCCCATCCCATCCCATCCCATCCCATCCCATCCCATCCCATCCATCCCATCCCATCCCATCCCATCCCATCCCATCCCATCCCATCCCATCCCATCCCATCCCATCCCATCCCATCCCATCCCATCCCATCCCATCCCATCCCATCCCATCCCATCCCATCCCATCCCATCCCATCCCATCCCATCCCATCCCATCCCATCCCATCCCCATCCCATCCCATCCCATCCCATCCCATCCCATCCCATCCCATCCCATCCCATCCCATCCCATCCCATCCCATCCCATCCCATCCCATCCCATCCCATCCCATCCCATCCCATCCCATCCCATCCCATCCCATCCCATCCCATCCCATCCCATCCCATCGCACCCCATCCTACACATCCCATCAGGTGCCAAGTCATGTGTTGCATGTGGGCACTTACCCCCATGCCATTCTATGCCATCTCGCACATCCCTATGTCATCCATCGCACTCCATCCCACCCCACCTCATCCCACGCCATCAGGTGCCAAGTCATGTGTTGACGTGCATGTGGGCACGATAGGCCCGGGGAAGGTGCGAGGAAACCACCGCCACCACACAAAGAGCGAGTCGTTTCTTATCTGGGGGGCAGACGCTCGCATCCGAGTGAGTTTGTCTCACATGCTGGGGTAAATTCAGGCGCACCTAAATTAGACACCAGCATGTGTCTATTCTCCCCCCCCCTCCCCCCCCCCCCCCCCCCCCCCCCCCCCCCCCCCCTCCTCTCGTCCAAACCGTTTTCTACATATAGCCCGTACTCCTTGTCTCTATCTATCCTTCCTGGCCCCGTTACTCCTTCCTTCCTTCCATCTCTTCCTCTCTCCCACGTCTCCCTGTTCCCAACATCACCTTGACTTGTCACAAACCTCCCTCCCTTCCCCACCACCTTCACCTCACCCTCAGCATAACAAGCCCTTACTCCCTCTTTTCCCTCCCCCCCTCTCCCCCCCCCCCCCTCCACCCCCACCCCCTCCTCTCTTCCCCCTTCCCTCCCAATGCAGATCGAGAACCCATCACTGCCAGCCGGATATGCAGAGGTGATGCTGGATGCTGCTGACGTGGCAGTCTTCACAGGGCCAGCTGGCAGGGCGCACGCACTGGAGAATGTGGACAAGCAAGGCCGTACACTCATTTTGTCTGCATGTGCAGATACGGAGTGGGATCCCGCCCATCCCGACACGGACTATCACATTTGGAAGGACATGTGATAGTGTGCCAGAGACTAGAGACTCATCGAATAGATGTACTATATTTTTGTGTTTCTGGGGGGCTGGGTGTTGTTCTGGGGCTGGATAGGTAGTGTGGCTTGAAATTACGGTTTAGGCGCTGTATTTATGGGGTATGAACTGTAACTCTGAGATACAGGTTATGTAGTACTCTGCCTTATCGCACACAGCCTGGCACCACATCAGAAAGGGCATGTGTGATATCCAGGGAGGTGTGACTGTCCCATTGCCCATAGCACAAGCTGAGCCAGTCACGCATATGGAAGTACCTACATGCTTTGGCTGTGGCTGTTTTCGTAAAAGAGCATAAAACATGGGAGCACAAATGGAAGGTCCTGATTTGCACCCTCAATGTCCCATTCCTGTCTGTAAAAAGGCATGAATAAACGAGCCACGGTATGCTGGCAACACAAAGCAATCCCTGCTGAACCCCTACTGGTCACACATCTGTACCTGATAAACATAGGAAAATCAGATCCAATATGTACTGTACACCGACAATAAATGGTGGAAGCACCCACATGGATGATCTGTGGTTCATTGATACACGCCTTTTGGGCTGGCTGGGCTGCTTGGAATAATAGGCCCAGGTTGCAGGGAATTTTATGATATTAGACCCTCGTCCATGTCAGAAAGTGGCCCATCCTGCTGCTGCAGGGGCGTTGGTGCTTGAGGGTGGGTTGGATGGAGCAGGCTGAGTTGCTGGTGGGAGAGAAGACTGCAAGAAAAAAACCACAGCACAGGGCAGGATAGGGCAGCCAAGCAAGTACAACAGATGCATGGTCAGCTGGTCGATGTTTCCGTACGGTTTGATGCGGGAAATAAGGGTAGAAATAGAACCGAGAGCAAAAAAATCACGGATCTTCGATTCAGCCTGGTTTATAGGCGATGAAATGACCCAGCACTCCCACGGGTGTCAGTAGCGCTCAAATTGGAAATTTTGAATAATTACAGCTATGTACCTGAAGCTGTGAGAAGTCAGCAAATGCTCCTGATTGACCTCCTCCCCCTGATGCACCTGATGCACCCAGATTTCCCGCTCCTGCTGCTGCTGCGCCTGCTGGTGCTGCTACTACTGCAGCTGCTGCTATGCTTGAAGAGCCTCCGGAGACTGAAGAACGAGATGAGGAGCCAGCAGGAGGAGCAAGGCGAGCGATGCCACTGCTGCTGCTGCTTCTGCTGCTGCCACCGGGAGGAGGAGCGAGAATGGCTACCCGGCCTGATGAAGTGGAGGAGGAGGAAGAGCGGGAGGAGGAAGACGAGGAGGAGGAGGCGGAGGAGGATGGTTTTTTCATGCTGATGCGGATGGTTTCGCCTTCCTGCACATGGGGAATATATTAAGAATGAACAAAAACGGAAATGTAGGAACGCTAAACGCTTCTCTTCAGCAAAAAAGTTGCTTGTTTTAGAAAAAAAAGTTTCACTGTAGTCAAATTTTAAATATGGTTGTACTTTAGCAGATTACCTTCAATTTCAGGTCCAGTTTCGGTTGAGAATCTTCTTGCGCAGAATCCGCTTCCCCCGACGCCACATCCGAGGCTCTTTGCCTCTCATTTAGAACATGCTTCTCATGATCCGTCAGAGCGACATTGAAGTCGAAAGCTGCGTTTCTCTCCGCGAATCCAAGCCCGATGAACGCGTGACGGCCGCGACCGTCGTCGATCTTAAGCACGAAGTATCGCGAGCTGTCCGTCGCCGCTTCGACCGACGCGTCGCGTCGACCAGGCGCCACGTGGCACGCGGCGAAAAGATCGCCGGTGTTACTGTCCTCCAGGCGGATTTCGCACGTATCGCCGACGGAAACTACTCGGAGGCGTCCACCCCAAATCTTGTCACCGACGAGCCACTCCGCGCATTTGTAACCACCAGACGACTGTCGCGGAGGTATTTTATAGACAGAGACTTCGCGAACGACGAGGAGCGTGTGCTCGAGAGGACCATCGGGTCCATCGTCGAGCGACATGGTCGACGGATTCGGAAAGTGAAGATTAGAGGAACTAGTTGTACTGCTGACGAGGTGACTGGGATGGTTGTGATACTGACCAGAACAGTGAAAGGGTCTAGGAAGCGTTCGTGTCAGGTATGGCCGACTTATGAATTCACGAGGACGTGCAGGCGAGGGTGCGGGTAAATGGACTGATTGTGAGATTCAGTCTCTGTCAGGTTTTGCGCCGTCAGCTCAGAACAACACACCATTCGGGCTAATCTCACTGGGGTCTGTCAGGCGAATTTGGATGACTTAGTCGACTCGAGGGTCACCTCGTGCTGATCTGACCAGGTCCTGTCACGAGAATCTAGACTAGGCTTGTCTGTCTGAGGTGGACGAGTGGAGGTTCAATTAGACTACTGTCAATATCCCTCGTCGTCGCTCACAGCTCGCACCACCATGGATTCAACTTTCACCATCAAGGTCTTCACTGAATGAATCCTACCAGACATCGCCTGCCCACTATTTGCAGGGGAAGGATGGGCCGAACAAGAATGTGAAGGGCGGGTCACGTCCAAATGAACCAGGTACGTGTAATGCGGTCAAGTACGTCAAAAAACGATTAAATACGTTTAGCTTTGGTGGAAACTCAGAATCGTCTTTAACCCCTCTCGAAAGCACCGAACCGCATTAAACGTGTCAGGTTCATCTAAACGTGACCCGCCCTTACTTCAGAAACGGAACACCAGCACGGAACGCGTTGGTTTCGGGCTGGTTCCAGTGTTGTATGTTCCAGTGTCATTATCCATAGCTTCACTCGGCTTTAAGCGAGATTCCTGGGGATATACAGAAAACGTGTACTGGCTGACTGCAAAGCTGCAATACGATTATTGCAAAAAATAATGGTGCTGTTATAAGATACCTCCTAGCCTTCCCTAAGCTATACAATCACGATGGTACACATGAGATACCGCACATGTAACATACGGTAGGTACTTATTTCTGCCATGCGCAAATAGTCAGCAGTTGGCAATAGCACCATTAGAGAGTAAAACACAATGTCATAAACCCAATCATTCCATTCATCCGCTGTCACTGGCCTGCTTTTCAAGTGCTGGCACAACAGGAGCTTCCCGTGGTTCACTTTTTAGAGGCGCACTTTCCTCCGCATCGGTGGTGGTTGGGAGAGTAGGTGCCACTGGCACCTTCTCTTTGCCTCCTGGTCTTGACGATGCATTGCCGTACCACACCATTCCCATGATCGAAAGTAGCATCCCCATCAGGACCTACAGGATATTGGGTAGGTGTGGGTGTATTGTGGGGAGGGGTTAGGGGTTAGGTCGAACACATGAGTGAGGAGGGTCTGAAGTGGAGACGCAGACGCACAGACATGAACTCTTTTAGTGATGGAGTGGCATACCATGGCATGGCTTAGCATGGCATGGCATGGCGTGTGACATGGCTTAGCATGGGATAGCATGGAATGGCGCGACATGGCATGGCATGGCACGACATCGCATGGTATGGCAGGCGTGCCATACTGTACAATTTCATACTGGCCGTCCAACCCAGAGATAGCACATCCGAGCACGGACACAGAGAGCGTCTTCACGTGGCCCGAAAAGGTCCCTCAAGCTTCTCTCGCCCCTGCTCTTCCTGGCACTCACGGCTAGCATGCAGGATAGAACCACTACCTGGTGTGTTGATCCTATCACACACAGGGGCTTCATGTGGCCCGGCCTGCATCTTCACTTACCGCTGCGTTGAGTTTATCCAACCCAAGAAGTGCGTATCCAAGTGCGAGCACGGGGAGAGTTCTCATGTGGGGATCAGCCTCTATTGGGGCTCTCAAGCTGCTCTGGCACGTTCTTCCTTGCTCTTAATGCATGGCACACCCAAGACAGGTTACTCACCGCTGCGTTGAGCCCATCCAAGGGCTGTGAATCTCCCTTTACTCCTCATCCTCACAGCATACAGCCACTCACCACTGCGTTGAGCCCATCCAACCCAAAAACGGCGTATCCGAGCACGAGCACGGAGAGCGTTTTCATGTGGCCCAGGCCCTGGAAGGTGAGGGCTGTGAATCTCCCTCTACACCTCATCCTCACAGCATACAGCTACTTACCGGTGCGTTGAGACCGTCCAATCCAAAGAGTGCGAATCCAAGCACGAGCACAGAGAGCGTCTGCATGTGGCCGAGGCCCTAAAAGGCACCTCAAGCTATTCTCTCCGAACCTTGTCCTTGCTGTCATGGCATTGCATGCTCAAGAAGCTTACATACCGGTGCGTTCAGGCCATCCAATCCAAAGAGCGCGTATCCAAGCACGAGCACCGAAAGGGTCTTCATGTGGCCCAGGCCCTGGAAGGTGAGGGCTGTGAAGCGACCGATGCAGATGAACTGACTTGCGTTGACCGCCACGGCTATCAGGCATGACAGGCCGATGCACAGCTGGCGGTGGGAGGTGGGGGGGAGAGGGAGCGTTGGGGGAAAGGGGAGGAACGGGAAAGGTGAAGAGAATGGGCTGCATGGCGTTGACCAGTGACCACCATGGCGATCTGGCATGAGAGGCCGATGAACAGCTGGTGAAGAGAAGGGAGAGAGTGGGGAGGGGAGTGGGGGTAAGGGGAAGGGATGGGCGGGGAGAGCATGAATGGGTGCCAGGCATGAGTGGCAGATGCACAGCTGCTGGTGGATTGGGAATGGAAGAACAAGCTAACTGGCTTTGACAGTCACTGTTCGTAGGCATGAGAGACTGGTGAAGTGTTGGAAGGTGGAGAAGGGAGGGAGTGGGCGGAGGAAAAGCAATAAATTGACTCGCGTTGACTGCCGGACTGCCAGTGAACTACCAACACATGGCGCTTCCAACACATGACATTCCTAGCACAAGGTTTGCCTGAAATCACTAAAAAACGAAACCACGAGCTCATGACGGAGGGCACTCAGCACAGGGGTCCTAGATGACCCGATGAGAACTAGCAGACTCACCACAGAGGGCACACTGAAGTCGTAGCTGTCAACTCGGGTACCGGACAGTAGCCAGTCATTGAGTGGTCCAAGCAGCACAAGGAGCCTGCTTGCAATGGTGGCAGTAACTGATATTACACCATATACACACCACAGAAGGCACTCACCACAGAGGGAACACTGAAGTCATAACTGTCGACCCGGGCACCTGACAGCAGCCAGTCAATAAGAGGGCCCAGCAGAACGAGCGAGCCGGCTTGCACGGGTGCTGTGTGTGAGAGCAGGTCGAAGGAGCCCAGACGGTACTTCTTCTGCAGGTATTGCACGTACTGTGGAGGAGTTGAGAGGGGTGGAGTAGGGTGGGAAGTGGGGGAAGGGGGAAGGCGATAAAGGTGGAAATGAATGGAAATGTGGAAGGGGAAGGAAAGGTGCGAAGGTGTGGGAGAGCAGGTCGAACGAGTTAAGCAGCGGTATTTCCTCTGCAGGTATTGTACGTACTGAAGAGGGGGGTGGAGAAGGGTGGGGCGGGGTGGAAGGGACATATAGAAGGACATCAATGGAAATGCCAGTGGTAAGGGAAGGTGAGAAGCTGTGTGTGGGAGAGCAGGTCGAACATGCCCAGGCGATACTTCTTCTGCCGGTATTGCACGTAATGTGGTGGTGAGGGGTGGGGAGGGTTGGGAGGCGCATACAGAAGGGGATGATTCAAAATGCAGGGGAGGGTGGAGGGGCATATAGGAGGTTGTGAATAGGAAGGCGAGAGAGAAAGAGAGGTGTGAAGCTCTGTGGGAGAACAGGTATTGCATGTTCTGTGGAAGGGAGTCGAGAGGGGTTAAGATGGGTGAGGCAGGGAGGAAGGAGTATATTGGAAAGATGAATGGAAATGAGGAAGGGGAAGGGAAAGTGAGAAGCTTTGTGTGTTTTGCACGTGGAACAAGCCCAGTTAGTGGGAAAGGTGCGAGTAAAAGGAGCTGTGTGTGGGGGCAGGCAGGTAAAACAAGCGCAAGCAAAAATATGCCTCTATCCTTCCAAAGAGTCGTTGCTATCCAACCCGTCCTCACCAGTGCATTCAAGTATTGCTGCACGGCAGTGGAGCAGACAGCAACAGCCGCAGCCAGCATGCCCTTCACCCTGAGGCTGCTGTCGGCGATGGTGCACGTGGCCACGCCTATGAGCACCAGCAGCACAGAGAGGCGCGAGCCCTGGGAGGGAGGCACAACAGCTGATCTAGACACCAAGGCCTGTTCGTTCTAGACTGAACTAGACTGGAGCACTCACGTATTGCTGCAGAGCAGTGGAGCAGACAGCAACGGCCGCTGCCAGCATGCCCTTCACCCTGAGGCTGCTGTCGGCGATGGTGCACGTGGCCACGCCTATGAGCACCAGCAGCACAGAGAGGCGCGAGCCCTGGGAGGGAGGCACAACAGCTGATCTAGACACCAAGGCCTGTTCGTTCTAGACTGAACTAGACTGGAGCACTCACGTATTGCTGCAGAGCAGTGGAGCAGACAGCCACGGCAGCTGCCACCATGCCCCTGGCGCTCAGACTGCTGTCAGCGATGGTGCACGTGGCCACGCCTATGAGCACCAGCAGCACAGAGAGGCGTGAGCCCTGGGAGTAGCGCATGCGATCAAAGAAGACCTCTAACACACAGGAGACCGGGATCATGCCCAGCTTGGCGATCTGAGGGAAAAAGAGGGGGAGAATCGAGCAAACGTAGCAAAGCAGTGAGCCTTGGGAGTAAAGGACGTGAGAAAAGAAGACCTCGAGGATGCATGATACAGGAATCACACCCAGTTTGGCGATCTGGGGGGGAAACGAGCGAAACAAGAGGGTGTGGGGACGAGAAGGGAGGGGTGGAGCGGGCGAGGAGGGGGGGAAGGGGAAGGGAAAGGCGGATGAATGAATGGGGTGGATTGGATCGCTTGAGGAGCACAGAGGGGCGCGGCTCTGGGAGTAGCGCATGTAATCAACAAAGACCTCGAGGATGCAGGAGACGGGAATCATGCCCGTCTTGACGATCTGAGCGGACTGGAAAGGGGGGGATGGGGAAGGAATGAGATAGATTGGATTGCTTGAGGAGCACAGAGGGGCGTGAGCCCTGGGATGGGAGTAGGGCATGGGGTCGAAGAAGAGTCGGTTTTTGAGTCGACTCAAAAACCGACTCATCACACGAGGAGCACAGAGGGGCCCTGGGATGGGAGTAGGGCATGGGGTCGAAGAAGAATTTGAGGACGCAGGAGACTGGGGTCATACCCAGCTTGGCAGTCTGCATGGGGGAAAAGTGAAAGAGGGCGCTGAGACGACCGGAAAGCATGGAACAGGGAGAGGCGTGAGCCCTGGGATGGGAGTAGCGCATGGGGTCGAAGAAGACCTCGAGGATGCAGGAGACGGGGATCATGCCCAGCTTGGCGGTCTGCATGGGGGCAAGCAGGCATCTGGCAGCATCCAACGCTGTTTCACACGAGGCTGACGTTCATCCCCACATCATTACGTTGGCTGGCAGTGATCGCACTGACCACCCATCAGGATCATACTCGATAAAAGCATGTCCAGTAAAAGCACACACACCTGGTAGATTCCGACGTTGTTCCACACCAGCCTGAGGTTCATCCCCAAAATAAACACACTAACAGTTACCGCACTGAGCCCGTTTCAGAATCATGGTCAATCAAAGCAAACTCGATACAAGCACACACACCTGATAGAATCCCACGCTGTTCCACATCAGGCTGACGTTCATTCCCACAATGGACACGTTGGCAGTCAGCGCGAACTTGACCTGCTCCATCAGGGGCAGCTGCGAAGGTTCCAGGTACCCGCTCAGACGCAACGCTGACGTCATCAGCGACGTCATGATGAAGTGGAGGCCGGTGAGCGTGGCGGCTGCGGAAGAAAGAAATGGAGGGGAAATGAAAACGTAGATTTAACAGGGGAGTGAAAAATTGGGATTATTTTAAAAAGATCACAAGTGAGTCTACATTAGCAGGTGACCATGCGCAGGAAAATGGGGGCGAAACAAGTGCAAGTGTACAGATCTGCGGGAGGCGACTTGATAGCGGTAGTTGAGATCGAAAACTGAGGGAAGCTGAGGCCATGCTTCAAGGGAAGAATGCGAACGTGTTTTGAGAAGTCTCAATACAAGCTTGGGAAAGTCAGAAACATAATAAGCAGTGTCGATGTGGAATGCAAGGGAGTGATAGAGATTGTTGAATTCGAAGATGAAGATGGACACGAGACAAAAACTGGAATTTGATTAGTATCAAATTCCTTGATCGAGTTAGCATAACGAAGCAAAAGCACTGCGTAGTCGTGACGAAGCGAGAAGCTAGAAAGTCGGTACTATACAACCGCACGCATGCGAGTCGAGACTGACGTTTTGAGACGTCTGAAAACGCGCAGCTATAACGATCGGTACGTACAACTGCATTTACGCGTTACAAGCGACTTGTTCCCTCCTAGGAGATGATAATAAAACATGGTTAGAGGTCGCACCGAACTGGAAATTGTAATGTGTCATCAGGTACTTGTTGACCACGATGATACCGACAGATGTAACGACATTGAACACCCACGAAAGAACGTCCGTTACGAGCTTCTGATGCCGCGACACCGCCGGCGTCTCCATGACCGAAAAATCTGGACCGAAATTGGACGAGAGCGAGAGATCGTCGCAATGCAGGACGAGTACGGAGAAATGCTTACTATGTTCCCAACGTAATTATTCTACCATGTACCCAGGACTAAGTAACGTATGCGAATCGCGAAAAGCCGTACAATTGGGAGTGATTAAGATGCCAGACAGGCACGTGTCGCACAGGATTAGTGAGCAAGTTATCCCAACTAGTCCTAAAAAGGACAGCGGAGCCGCCTCACGACTCGCGGCTCTTGTTAGCCCTATTAGGAGCTTCCTCGGTTCTAAGAATCGGGGACAACACTGAGGCAAGCTCACCAACTGACCAATCACACTCTCGTGAGTCTTGATTCGAACAAATGGATCTGTGAGCTGTTGGAGAATCGAGTTTCTGCCGCCCCAGCCCTTTGCACACAAGCAGCAGCAAGGGGGAATGTCGGCGATGAATCAGAGCTTCGGGAAGTACTTCAAAAGTTCCACCACCAATCAGATTTCAGCCGAAGACTCGATATAGTTCAAAGCTGCCTTCAAACCGAAGTGTTGGCAGTTTCTACAGGTTTCTACACATCAGAATCAGCTATAACAGAAATATCCAGAGTTTTCTTATTCATGCACCTCATGTGGCACTCAAAGTCACTCAAGGTCCATCCAATCTAGATTGTGCCCAAGTTACCAGGGAAGTTACATTGTCTATCAGCCTAGTTTGAGCTTTCAATCTGTCTTGTTTGTGATGCCTATAGAGTTGTGCTTTAGTGGGCTTGTTAATCTTGCACATAGTGAAGTTTTACCTCATCCAGTCAATTCCAGCAGCCCTGCTAAGACTTTCCAGCCAAGTTTCCAGCCCTCCAGTAGTCACAGCTACTCTGTTTTACAAGTTGGTATCAGAGCTTGTCGTTTCGATCAACCTAGCCCACCTCCCATCAATCCCCTGAAATTGTACGATGCTCTTCGTACAAATCCGCGCCGCGGGGGCTACGGAAATTTGTGCAATCGCGGTTCGTGCTGGTTTGGATTTGCACCTCCTCCATCATCTTCTTCACATGTCTACCTGAATCAAATTCTAAGGTATAAGTTACAGGGCAAATCCGTGTAACAACCATCCAGCAGAACTAAGCAAACAGGCTTCCTAATCGTACAGCAGTCTAATCCTGCTCCTGCTCCTGGTGGATCTTTAAACGGGACCATGGCTTCCGTGTCCGCTCTCTCATCCGGCATTCAGGTATGTTCAGCCAGCAACATAAACAATGTTCAGATTCTGATTCCAAGAAAGTTCTCATACCAACTCTCTGCTTTTTTGGCACCCTCGCTTATCTCAGGTCTCTTCCGTCAGCACCTTCGCTGGGAAAAAAACTCAGCGTCGACCAATCCCGCAGCACCACCGTCAAGCTCTCCGCCGGACGCGCTGCAGTTTCTGTGAAGGCCAGCAGCGAGAGCACAACCTCTGATGACGTCAGCCGCCGCGCTGTCCTCAAGGCAGCTCTCGTTCTCGGCGCTGCTGTGCCCGCTTCTGCCGCTGGGTTCCTCTCCTTCGCCCCTGCCAGGTACCATGATCTTCACCACATCTAAATCTACAAGCTGCACGATTGAAAAGTTCCTCCTTTTTTGCTGCTTACTTTCACGTGTAACGTTTATACATATGTGTGCAGCTCGGCGGACGAGCTAGTGGCGAAGGATCTGAGCGGCAAGGTGGTGATGGCCGACAGCTGGCTCGCCACGCACAAGGCCGGTGACAGGACGCTCGTCCAAGGCCTCGATGTAAGCACCACTTGTATAGGAACATTGGGATGTTGCCCATTTCCGATTAGCAACTTTTACCATGCATATCCCAACTTCTTGTCTGATATTTGTTATCTCTCTATCTTTCTACAGGACGAGCCGGCTTACATCGTGGTGAATGATGATGGGTCGCTCTACAAATTCGCCATCTGACTCTTTCTGTCCCTCCATCTCCCTCTCCCTTACTCTCCCTGTCTCCTCTTCCTCTCCTGTAGGACGAGCCGGCTTACATTGTGGTGAACGACGATGGCTCGCTCGGAAACTTCGCCATCAACGCTATCTGCACGCACATGGGGTGTGTGGTGCCGTGGGTGGCGGAGGAGAACAAGTTCATGTGCCCCTGCCATGGCTCCCAGTACAACAACCAGGGCATGGTCGTGCAGGGACCGGCACGTGCAGGGACCGGCACCTCTGGTACGTATATCCTTGGTATTGCATTTGAATTCGTTTTTTATTGTGCTTTATATAGCTTCAATAAGTGCTCATATCTGCTTTTACAGATTCTTCAACTTGTTGCCTTGCTCAGTAGCTCTGTGTAGTGGCTTCAGTGTCCTTTGTCTGCCACCATGCCTTTGATTTCCTGTGTTGCGTCAGTTGTTTTAGGCATGGGATTTTGAATAATTCTTTCCGTATCTGCATGCATCGCCTTCCTTCCCTACTCCTTTCCCTTCTCCTCGAGTCTCTTGTTCTTACAGTAGGTGGTTTCTCCACAACCATTGAACCAGTGTTCCCTTGTTTCCCCTCCTCTTCTCTCCCTCTCCTCACTCAGTCTCTGGCCCTCGAGCATGCCAACGTGGTGGGCGGCAAGGTCGTCTTTTCCACGTGGACCGAGACAGACTTCCGAACCGGCGAGGAGCCCTGGTGGATGGAGGACTAAACGATGGTTGCATGGTTACCATGTCACACGATCCAAAGTATGTCAGGCAATTGTGCTATATAATGTGGAATATGAAGCATACAGTGGTTGTTTTTGGCAACTAGCCCTCTCCAAAAATCAAGAGATGTGGAGGATAGGTTTTATCCACATGTGGATAGGGTTTACCATTTTTTTACTGGTAGATTGACAATTACATGATAGATGGAAGTGATCAATTTCATAACACAACAGGTTACTACAAGACCTCTTTCACAGTAATTTTAGTGAACAGTGCAATAAACAGTGCATTCGTGTTGGAAGTGGGAGGGTCGAATCTGAGGGTATGTGGTATACCACCAGGTCTGCTTGGCCAGCCCTTAGCCTCCTCCACTTGAATCAACTCTGAAACATTGAGGGAAGAAAAAGGTTGAATTATGAAAATAAAGAATAGATAGGATGATGGGCAACTGATCATACAGCCAATGGCAGACAATGAGCTCTGAGAGGTTTCGAAGTGGGAGCAAGAAGCTTTCTGGTCTTGTGCTACACGTATGGAAAAGCACAGTAAGACATGACAGGATGTGCAATACTGGGAGATACATGACACAGCAAGCGCAAGCACGAAGAGAGGCAAAAGAATCAATAAAAATGAACTGAGCATGCTGGTGGGAGATATGCATGATGTACTGATGACAGGTGCATTGTTGACGGCACACAGCTACACATTTATGTTTTGAGATGTCTCAAAACACTTCTTCAATCACGAGATGCATGATGTACTGATGACAGGTGCATTGTTGACGGCACACAGCTTCACATTTATGATGGTGAAAACGGGATGGATGATGGAAGAACGATGGATGGTGAATGGTGGGAGCACTGACCAGCGTCATGCGAGTGCCTGTCCAGAAACCATCTCACCACGCCCTCGTTCTGTGTGATTGTGAGGCTGAGAGGTGGAACATCACCGAGGAGGGGATTAGAGGACAGGGATGAAAAGGAGTGTTTGGATTGAGCGATGACAAATGACATGAAAGTGCCTTGTCCAGAAACCATTGCACTAGATTCACGCTCTTTGTGACAGTGAGGCTGGGAGGTGGGGATCATGGAGAGGAGAAAAGTAGAGGGACGCGAACGAAGAGGGCAAAAAAACGAGGAAGGAAAAGAATGGACGGGTTACGAAAAGGAGACTCTGGAAAGAGTCAACAACCATGGAACCACATTTGAAAAAAACAAGTATTTGCCTTGTTTAGGAAGACCGCAGGTCAGGGAGAGGAGAAATGCAAAGACGGGAAGCAAATATACTTTTGAAATATTACTCCGCCAGTGTATTACTGAAATATTACTGAAAGATTACTGGAAGATTACTGAAATATTACTGAAATATTCCTGAAATATTTTGCCCTGCAGGCTCACCTGCATGTTGAGTAAACGAGCCTTCCTCCTGGCTTCAACAGCAAGAAGCCAGTCTCAAGAAGAGATCGCTGGATCAAGGGAAAAGAGAGCGAAGAAAGAGGGAAACGCGGGGGGACAGGGAAGAGCATCAGAAGCGAATGAGCAAGAGAGGCACGTAGCAATTTGGTGGATTCAGGTGAGAGGTGTACACCTGTGGAATTGCATATATACGACGGGTACTGAATTGGCATAACAGCTGCAATGTATACAGGTATGTGAGTGTGTTCCCAGATAAAAACTGCTGAGATTGTGCCAGCTCCGGGACTTTTATCCGAGCGTTTACACCACAAATGGTGTAGACGAGATGAGCACTTGCAGATGACCAAGTACCAGTACAAGTCTTCGGACATTTCTTCCAGTGAGCTGCACTAGCGTAGGAGAAGGTTTAAGCAAGTAGGAGCAGATCCGGGGATGAGTACTTACACACGACACGAGTACTCGTAATTTGCTAGAGGTTGAAGTAATCGTGTACAAGTTCCAGGGCTGAAGCGAAAACATGGTTCGCTTAGAGACCACTCGGAATTAAACATTTCCTAGTTCTTGCAGGATTGAGTCTGTTGCTAGAGGTGAGTGGAAGATCCTCTCTTTGGTCCCTGTTACTTGCGAGCGATTTTTGAGAATTCTCAGAAATTACTTGCAGGGTCCAAACTGCAAGTAGCAGTTATGCTGTGTTCTGCAAAGTGGAGGTGACCTCACACTGCTGAGAGGTAATCTCACACCTGCCGTGCTGAGAGCGAGTTAGGCCTCTGGGGATTCAGGAACTGCTTGTTGAGGGTGTGTCATCCCCACAAGTCGTACTTGAGAATGTGCTTCAGTGAAGCGGTGGTGGCAATGACTGCAGCAGTGCAAAGCGAGCTACAATCCAATGCGGACATGCTCTCACCTGCACTGCTGCGAGCGAGTTAGGCCTCTGGGGATTCAGGAACCGCTTGTTGAGGGTGTGTCATCCCCACAAGTCGTACTTGAGAATGTGCTTCAGTGAAGCGGTGGTGGCAATGACTGCAGCAGTGCAAAGCGAGCTACAATCCAATGCGGACATGCTCTCACCTGCACTGCTGCGAGCGAGTTAGGCCTCTGGGGATTCAGGAACCGCTTGTTGAGGGTGTGTCATCCCCACAAGTCGTACTTGAGAATGTGCTTCAGTGAAGCGGTGGTGGCAATGACTGTAGCAGTGCAAAGCGAGCTACAATCCAATGCGGACATGCTCTCACCTGCACTGCTGCGAGCGAGTTAGGCCTCTGGGGATTCAGGAACTGCTTGTTGAGGGTGTGCCATCCCCACGAGTCGTACTTGAGAATGTGCTTCAGCGGGGCGGTGGCTCTGCCGATTGCAATGCAATGAATACTTCAGAACGCTGAGGTTGCATGCTGTCTGCAGACATGCCCTCACCTGCAGTGCTGCAAGGGTGCTAAGGCGCTGGGGATCTAGAAACCGCTTGTTGAGAGTGTGCCATCCCCACGAGTCGTACTTGAGAATGTGCTTCAATGGAGTGATGGTGATGGTTACCACACTGCAAAGCGGACTGCAATCTAATGCAGATATGTTCTCTCTCTCACCTGCAACGCTGCCAGGGAGTTGAGCCGCTGGGGATCTAGAAACCGCTTGTTAAGAGTGTGCCATCCCCACGAGTCGTACTTGAGTATGTGCTTCAGTGAGCCGTCGTGTGTGCACTCTGCATCCACCAACACCTGATGTGTGACATAAGAGAGGTGTGACACAAAAGAAACTGTGAGTATCCTCAACAGCCTTGCTTCAGTGAGCAATCGTGCGTGCACTCTGCATCCACCAACACCCAACACCCAAAGAATACTAGTTTTGAGGCGCCTCAAAACTAGACTGCATCCAACAACACCCAACACCCAACGAATACTCTCCTCGGCAAAAGGAGAAACAGAAGCGGTTGGGTGTTGGGTGTTGTTGGTCCACCAACACCAACACCCAACGAATATTCTCAAGAGTGAACCCGGCAAAAGGAGAAACAAAAGCGGTTCACTTCAGTGTCTCGCGCTTTCGCTCTGCGTCGAATAGCGCCAGGTAAACCACCTGCGGGTAACAAGTGAAAACAGAAGTGTTTTGAGACGTCTCAAAGCACTGCTTTCACTCGGCGTCTAACAGCGCTACGTAAATCACCTGCGGGTAACATAAACGACCCGGGAGAAGAGGGAGAGCATATATGCACTCTGCACCTACAAGAACGTGTGATGTGACGCGAGGGATGTGATGTGGCAGGACGAAGCTCGGAAGCACAAGGAGTTGAGGCACTGGAGGAGCACCATGAAGGATTCATATGCTGCATGGATCCTACAGTGCCATGCTGCAGCACCATGCTACAGTGCCATGCTGCAGTGCCATGCTGCAGTGCCATGCTGCAGTGCGTTGTACAAAGAGAACTTTGAGACGCCTCAAAAGTTTTCTCTTTACACGAAGCTCAGCAGCACAAGGAGTTGAGGCACTGGAGGAGCACCATGAAGGATTCGTATGCTGCAGTGCGTTGTACGCTTTACAACATGCTTTAAAATTGTAACATGCTTTATAATGATAACATGCTTTATAATGATAACATGCTTTATAATGATAACATGCTATATCATTATAACATGCTATATCATGATAACATGCTATATCATGATAACATGCTTTATAATGATAACATGCTACAAAATGATAACACAGTCTAGTATGCTACACATGCTCTTTAGGGTTACTGACTCACCTTATCGTAGCCCTCCTTGCCGCACCCAGCACCCGTGTCCCACCACTGCCAAGCAGTCCGCCCCACAAAAAACAGTTCCGGCCGCTCCCCTCTCTGCCATTCCAATGCTGATGCTCCCGATTCTGGTGCTGATGCTAGCAATGGTGCTGCTGTTGTTGTAGCAGCCGCATCAGCTGTAGCAGCAGCACCGCCTACTTCAGCAGCAACACCAGCTGTAGCAGAAGAAGAAGCAGCAGCAGCTACAGAGTCCTGACAAGCCGACTCAAACATGCGGAGGTGCTTTGCTCTCCTCCTCTCCTTCCTCGTCCGCTTCCTCCTCCTCACTCCCTCCCCCTCCTGCTGCTCTCGTCCCCTCACCCCTCTCTTCTCTCCCTCTGCTCTCTCCTCTACCTCCTCCATCTCCTCTCCTTCCTCCATCTCTTCTCCCTCCACTCCCTCCAGCTCCTCTCTTACCTCCTCTTCCCTTCTCTCTAATATCCCCTCACTATTGCAACCATCCACCACCGCCCCTTCTTTCACTGCTGCCCTACCTAATCCCATTCCTATTGAACCCACTCCTACTGATCCTACTCCCAATCCTAGTTCCATACCTGCCTTAGCCACGGGAGGTCCAAGAAGGAAGGCAGTGGCATCCCCTAGGAAAAGCCGGCACCTGTCTGTCAGCCGGTGCTTCTGTAGCAGCGTGCGACACGCAGCCAGGCGAGCCGGAGAGACGTCAACTGCTGTCACTGTGCCGGTTACAGTGTGCGCACTGGGTGTACTGCCCGTTACTGTGCCCTTTATTGTGCCGGTTGCAGTGAGTGCATCGTGCGTACTGCCTGATACCGTGCCAGTTTCAGTGGGTGCGCTGGTGCTGAGAGGCGCTGAGCTGAGAGCAACATCAGCATCTCGAGCTGTACACCGGGCGGGCGAGAGCTCATCCAGGATCAAGCAGAGCTTGGCACCTGGTGGAGGGCAGCAGTGCATCAAGGGTAGAAGGAAGCTGTTGTAGGAGTAACAGGAAGTTATAAATGTGTCCTGAAAAGTCCCACCTGGGGCATCACAGAGGTCAAGGACGTGGCTGGACGGGTCAAGCAAGCACCGATCTATCTTAGACTGAAGCCCAGTCTTAAGAGCTTGCAAACGCAGCAACAAAATTCCCACCTGGGGCCGCACAGAGGTCGAGAACGTGGTCTGAAGGGGACAGCTGCAGCGCTGCCACTGCTGCTCCTGACGCTGCATCCATGCCAAATATCTGACGATGACATACACAAGCAAGCAAGGGAGTGGGAAGAGATGCCTTATGAGTCGACTCAAAAGCCAACTCTCTGCCACTGCTGCTCCTGACGCTGCATCCATGCCAAATATCTGACGATGACATACACAAGCAAGCAAGGAAGTGGGAAGAGATGCCTTATGAGTCGACTCAAAAGCCAACTCTCTGTCACTGCTGCTCCTGACGCTGCATCCACGCCGAATACCTGACAAGACATACACAAGCAAGGGAGTGAGCGCCTCAAAACAGCTCAACGTCGTTGCACTATCCGTGCCATCTGATATATTGAGAGAAGAAAAATAAAGAAATTCCTGGGCATGTAAGTCGTCTTTTCTGATACCCCCTCTCTCGTTCCCTTCCCACCACCCCCTATAAATTGAGCCGTTAATGCCCTTTGCCAAGTAACAAAAACCTTTTTTTTTTTTTTTTTCACCTGATTTCCCCTATGCATCCTCAAAGTGCCTGTACTGTCCGATTCCCTAGGAACGAGATGAAAAATATAACGTTTCTATGACGTTCTGAAAAGCACCTGGTTTCTCACCTGGCCTCTCTTGTATGAGCTGGTGCCTGAAATGTTGAAATCTCCTGGGAGAGAGAAGAACCCTGGCAGCCAGGATACTGCCGCCATGCCTCCTGCAGCAGCTGCTGCTGCAACTTCTGCAACTTCTTCAGCTTCTGCTGCGATTTCTCCTGCTGCTGCTACTGCTGCCGCTGCTGCTTCTGGCGGCGTTGCAGATGAAAGTTCAGTTGAGCCAGCTGATGCTGCACCGGCAGACCCCTGTGTTGATACACTTGCAGCACCTCTCCTCAGCAGCCCTGCAAGCTCGCTCTTCACCTCTTCCACCTCTGCTTCACTCAGCCCCCCACGCAGCCTGGCAGGAAGGAGGGGAGGGAGGGATGAAGAATGCGGGGAAAACGAGTTTGGTTGGGGCTGCTGCTCTCCTCAGCGATCCCACAGTAGAGGCAATGCACTTGGGGTTCCGTCTCTCTCTCTCCTCAGCAGCCCTGCAACATCCTCCTCCTTCACCTCGTGCGCCTCTGCATCGCTGAGCTACCCCACAGCAGAGGCAATGCACTTGGGGTTTCACTTGCCTGATGTATCGTGGGAGGTCGGCGTGGCGGCTGTAGATGCTCGGATCAATCCCATTCTCCTCCAGAAACGTCAGAAACTCGCCGGGAAACGGATGCTGCTGCTGCTGCTTCTGGTGTGGTTGCTCCTGCTTCTCTTCCTGTTGTTGATGATCCATTGGGTTTTCTTGGTTTAGCTCGCCGTTTGCCTTATCTCCGATAGTTACACCCTGAACAGTCACATTCGTATGTGTCCCGCCTTCGATGAGCATTTCCGCTTGGAGCGCAGCGGTTTGCGCGCGACTGCTGCAACGGCGCAGGATTCCCGGCGGAGGGGAGTGCGGATACCGCGAGGATTGGCGCGCAGCGGAATGCAGAGTAGGCGGAGGAAGGAGGGACCGGCGGGGAGAGCAGCGAGGCAATTGCGAAAGGGGAGACTGATGCGAGCGACTGGGAAGGAGTTGAGTGCGACGGAAGGCGACGGTATGCGCCAGAGTGCGACAGAATGCGAAGCTGTAAGCTGCGCGCGAGGAGGGGAGGAGAGACACGCGCGAAGGGCGGAGGAGAGGAGAGGCCATGCGACGATTGAGTGAGACACGTCGAGAAAATGAGTCTGATGACCACGTGTTTAGGAAACGAAGGCCATGCACGCGGAATAAGCGGAGGGAGGCATAGGGAGAGGTAGTGGAGGGGAGGAATCGAAGTGGAGCAACGGGTTGAACTTGAGAGATAATTAGTGGTTAGCTGTTATGAGTGTGCGCGGTCGGAAATGCAATCAAGGTCGGAACTACAGAATGTACTGAAGACTACTGAAAGGAAGAAGTAACGAGGCTAGAAATAGGCAGAGTCGAGCTAGGCGAGGACCTCGGGGTAAACGAGGCTTGTAAAGGTGACCGAAGGTGCGGTGGCGCCTCGGAAGTGGTTCGGGACTAAAGTTTAGGCCGAACCCAAAAGTGGAGACTTTCGGAGAATCCCCGCTAAGGTAAGTGTACAGTGACAAAATATTATTCACAAAAAGCTACAGAACAGGAGCTTCCAAAATAGAGGGGCAAACAGCCCAATTGCCATGTCTCAAGCCTGAAGGTATGACAGCCACAACGTTTTCTTCAGCACACCCAGCTTGTTTCTCAAGCTTAGCTCTAAATACACTCCGTATTGATATGCACAGCCACCATTATAAATCCACACCTTACATTGTACATTGTAACAATCAATTTGACGGTTCACAAAACCATCCCATCAAGGCTTGAAGGTGGTTTGCTGCCAGAGGTTGATGATGTCTGTGGCCTGATTAAGCAGAATAATCACCCTCTTGCGAGACAGCCACGGCTTGCTCTCCAGCAGCTCCCTAAGCTCCTCCCAGGCATCCTTGCGCGGCCAAAACATGTACGAGCTGACCGGAACAGTGCCCTGCCCGGGAATCATCTGGTCCACTGCAATCCCAATGTTCTTCTCTGAAATTCATGAAAAAGGGAGGGGAAGAAGAGAGGAAAGTGAAACTTGATGGATATGGAATACATTTATGCTGTTCTTGGAAAATCCATTGTTAGGTGTTGCAATCCCAATGCTCGTCTCTGGCAGGGAAGAAGCGCAAGGTATAGATAAGGGGAAGAAAATAAAGAGCAGCGACTAGGAACAAGAAAAGAGTGGAATGGAAAAAGAGCTTCACAACGCAGAGCTGCGAGTGATGAGAGGCAGCGGTGGGTCCATTGAGATTAGGGGCTAAAAAACGATGAGATTCATGATTTAACAAAACGTTTGGTAATTAGTAAGGTTGGTATTCAATCATGGATGGCAGATAAAAACGAGATCGCCCACCCACCACCATCGGCGTTAGGCTGCCAATACTTGAGCTAGGCCGACGATTACAGCTATGTCTGTATCTACGTCTACAGCCGATTAGAATGCCCAACGAAAGCGAAGGGTGCTGATCGGCGTTCGCGGATTCGATAGAGACGATAATGAGGAAATTTCAAGCCGCACAAACGTCCGCGTCCGCGTGAAAGGGTTAATGAGCCTTTCCGTGTGGCCAATGTGGCCACGATACTGCATCCTAGTCCCAGTCAAAGATCAACAAGGGATGGAGCTGGAGAACCTCAGACGATGTCTGTCTCTTCGAACGAATCCCGTGATCCACTGCAATGCAACATTCTGCCGCCTCGAAAAATACTGGACTCCACATCGACTCGAACCGGCCACGTAACCCGTTGATCGAGACGTTAGTTTCCGCTCATGAATGTCGCAAGCCCAAGATCGTGAATGAGCCCTTCCCATTGCAAACGTCACGCCGAAAATGTTACTGGAGAGCAACCCCATAGCAGCTCGCGCGTAATCCATAATGTAAGATTAGCCCCAGGTAATCCACCAAGTAAGAGTACCCACGGGTAATTCATCCTGCAGAATTACACCTTCCTCCTTTCTCCATTCCAACCTCAGCCCGCCACGACAACGAGTCCAGCAACGGTTTCGAACGGAAATCAAAGTGCGCCAGGACGGGAAAATCGGCACACTGGCTGAGACAATCAAGAATGATTAATCGGGAATCATTGGCACCGGTTCCTGCGCGTCTTATGAGCTACCGCGTGGGAAGAGCGAAAACACCGAGCTGCAGCTGCAGAATAGATAAAGTAAACCCGGAACCCTAGTTCTCGCATCCCCTGTTTTTCTCTCTTCTCGTCCTACTATTTGGGAATATCAATAACCCAGAACCCTGACGCCTGGTACTAGAGGCCCCGGAGCGTGAAATGCGGAACGCACCGAGCCAGACGAATTTAAGGAGCAGCCGTTGCTTGCCCTCCTTGACGGAAAGCACCTTCACCTTCTTAGGCTCCTCAGCCGCCGCCTCGCTACCCGCTTCCGCCACCGCCGCGCGCGGGGCGACGACGCGCTCCGCCCGCGCGGGGAATGCGCGCGCCGCGGGGAGGGCTTGCGCGGAGAAGGAAGGCGTGCGGAGGGAAACGCGCGCGGAGCACGCTGCAGCGCGGGCGGAGGGCGCGGCTGTGTAGGCTGCGGGGAAGGCTACTTGAGAAGTAACCGCTGCCATGGCTGCCCTGTTCCTCAACGTACTGTAAAGTGAGAGATTAGTCACGTAGCTAGGTCGACACTTGGTGACAGGCGATATATTAGTGTAGGAAATGAGAGAGGTAAGTAACTTCAGGGTAGCGCTAGGACTCGAAAAGCAGTGAGTCGCTAACGTGGGTTTGGATGCGTTGAAAAACGTTGGAGTCAGGTGACAGGCATTACAGAGTGGTCATATCTGGCTTGGCTGGGCTATGCTCGCGTAAGTTGCGTGGTCGGTTTGGAGATTGGGTCTGGGGCGAATAAGGTCAGGCTCGGGGAGATGACGTGTCGGAAAAGTGATGGGCGATGACTCATCCGAAACTGGACTCCAGGTGCTGGCGTGCTGCCATTTGGCGTTGATTACTCGGTTTGTAAGTGTCCCGTTTGTGTGGCAGAGTGGTCATGTGTGAGAGTGATGAGTATATACGTAAGCGTCTCGCAACACTCACCCATCATCAAATACGTATGAAAAACTGGTAATTTGTTCAAATCAACCTTCTAATAGCACATGACATCTTCAGTACATATCTTAAGCGTTTTGTAACTACTGTACCTTGGGTATGTCACTTTGCATGTACAAGCCTCAAGCATCCCAATAAATATCCAACCACCACGTCTTACCATAAAAATGATCTTACCGTAAGGCCCCGGATATAGGCGCATATGCGCTTATAATAAAATCATTTTTTTTAGGGGTGGCGCTTGTAATTGAATAACGGCCATAAGCGCCGGCGCTTATATCATGGCAAAAATGAATTTGTTATTTTTATGTACCAAATCGAAGCCCACAAAAAGGCGAACACAATTGAGTAACGTGTGCGTGGGATAATGCATGTAAACCCGCCGAAAACTGCTGCGCTTCGATTCCCGACCGCACAAATCCCGTCCAGGAGCAGCGCACCTGCCAGCGCTGACGTGAAAGTTGCATTGCGGCCCAATCAGGCTTTCATGCGCTGGCAGGCAGCTGCATTTCACCCGAACCATCGAAAAGGGGCTGGAATGCCCTGCCAGCGCAGCATCTTCGTGCCGCGATACCCTCCTCTCCGGGTTCAGATAGGGGGTACCCGCCTCTCCCCGACGAGGACCCCGAGGCGCTAACCAGAAGGGGTCCCTTTGAATCTCTCATTTGTTCTCCGTTTCTCTAAGTTTCTCGTTCAGGTTCTTGGTCGTTCTCGCCTGGCTACGGAAGCCATGGCGGAATTCAGCGGCACCCACTTCTTGTTCAAGAAAAAGCCTACGCGAAGGCCCGCGTTTAGAGTAGACGCTGACGGGTGGTACTCCCGTATCCCACCTGAACCACCAGAGCCACCACAGCCTCCTGCGCCTCCTGCTCCTCCTTCGCCTCCGGATCCTGTGTCTCCGCTACACATTGGCAATCAGCCCGTGCTCACGCTGCTGCTTCCTTCGGCGTTTGACGAATTCCTCTTCGAACCGGAGTCACACGCGCAAGATGTTGAAGTGGAAGTGGGCCACGTGTCTGGAGGACGCTGGGGACAGCCCGACGATTGCCCTTGGGACGAATCTGCAGTCGGCGCCGATGATGATGTTGCTGACGCTGAGGAAGAGAGCGGCGCTGACGGCGCCGAGGGTGACACGGAGGCTTCCGCTGGAGGCGGCGCCGAGGGCGGCACCGCTGAGGATGTGTTTCCAGAAGGTGTTACGGGCGACGGTGACGACGACGGCGTTGAGTACTGATCACGCGACGGGCTCCATGAGGAACTGCCCATACCCGCAAATGCCTCACCAACTGGAAGCGGACGGCGGATTTCCTCAAGGAAGTTCACTCCGCTCGGAAGCGCATGCACGGCCGCGGGCGGGCGTCTTGGTACCGGCCGATGGAGTTGAAGGTGTACGAGAAGCTGCTCGAGTGGCGCCGCAAGGGAACTGCCGTGTCAGTCGGCCGCCTGCGGGAGTGGTCGCGGGAGTTCATGAAGATTCTGTACCCGGACAAGAAGTGGAAAGGAAGCCAGAGGTGGTCGGAGCGCTTTCGGCGTCGATGGAATCTGAGCGTCCGCATGAAGACCTGGGTTGCCCAGAAAACCGCCGCGCGTAAGAAATAGCCCGATTATCTTGCCACGTGGTTTTTGTATATTTGTACTAACACCTTCCGTCTTTGTCCGTCCTCTCTTCTACCACCGTACAGATGTCGCTGAGCAGTGCCGCAGCTTCTGGAAGTTCGTGCGTGCCAAGCGTCGAGAGCGCGGCATCGACACCGCGTGGATCATCAACGCGGACCAGACGCCGCTATGGCTGGAGATGCCCGCCACCACCACCGTGGAGGAAACGGGTGTTCGCTCGGTGCCTATCAGGAGCGCGGGGTATCAGAAGCAGAGAGTGACCGTGATGCTGGCGTGCGCGGCGGACGGAAGGAAGCTGAAGCCGTGGGTGTTCTTCAAGCGCAAAACCTTGCCGAAGGGCGATTTCCCTGCCGGTAAGTAAAGAGGTGCACTCCTCGTTAACGACGTTCTGTTCTGAGTGCGAATTCTAACCACCCGTACGTGTTTCGTGCAGATGTGGTCGTGGCTTGCCACGAGAACGGGTGGATGGACTCCGCTGGCGTCGTTTGCTGGCTTGAGGAGGGCGTCAAGCCTTTCTTGAAGCCTCGGTTCGGCAGACACGCCAAGAGCTCGATGCTGGTGCTGGATTCTTACCGCGGTCACCTCACCGAGGAGGTGAAGGAGAAGCTCCGCGAGATGAACTGCGTGCCGGCAATCATCCCGTCGGGCTGTACGGCGGAAGTACAGCCGCTCGATGTCTCCATCAACAAGAGTTTTAAGGCGTCAGTCCGCCAGCAGTACCAGAGGTGGTTTGAGGCAGAGGGGCAAGCGCAGCTGACAGCGGCAGGTATGGCATGAGTACAGTATTGTTGTACTCCCCCCCCTCCCCGACTTCTTTTTTTATGCACTAATGGCTTTCCACCGTTCTCCTGTAATGTTGCAGGGAATTTGAAGAAGCCTCCAGCTGAGGTCGTCCTGCGGTGGATTGTCAGAAACTAGCAGTGAGAAACAGAAATGAAGAAAGGAGAGGTTTCACTAGCAGCAGTTGGGATACATATAGCAAACCCTAACAGGGTTGTACTCGCTATAGAGCACCCCACTACAGGCTAGATAATAACATTCTGACATGGATATCTCAGGCCTGGCGGGCAGTGCCGCCCGACCTCATCACGCGTGCCTTCCTCACCTGTGGCATCAACAACCAGCTTGACGGCAGTGGGGACGGACTCGCCATGGCGCACAGGCGCAGCCAGCTGACAGCGGAAGTGGATGTCGACGATGACATCATCGCTGATGGTTTTTTTGGCAACAACTGCCAGGAGCCTGAATCTGACGAGGAGTAGGAGGGGTACTGTATGATCCATGTTAGGTAGAAGTACCCCGGCTAAACTTGTTGTTAGGAGATCTACCTGTAGCTTAATCTGATGTTGTTGCTTAGAAAAAGTGACAATTTAGTGATATCTTTTGTAATGGCTCCAATGAAAGGTTAAGGGATGCGCTTATAAAAAGGATAGAAATTTCAGGGGGTGCGCTTATAATCGAGTTCCGGCCATAAGCGCCATGCTCCAGATAGAGGCGCCGGCGCCTTTAATCGGACGGCGCCTATATCCGGGGCCATACGGTATGTCTTACTTGCCAACCAGCCAGTGGACCTCTGACATCACCTACATGCAAACATACCGGTAACAAGAGACCATCATTTCCAGTGTCCATGGTTCCAGGTCTAGGATTTCCAGTTTAAAGCCCGCATGCAAAATAGTGACCCCCCCCTTCTAGTTGGGTCCACTTGATATACTGATTCACAGGTTTTGTTTGTAGGGTGTAATGTGTTGCAGTTTTTCTTTTTTTCCTGATACTAACCATCTTTCCGATTTTGATCGAGGAATCTGGTCGCAGGGTTGGGCAAATCTGTCGTAAGGGGTGCCAATATCACATTCGTGGCACATTCACATTCGTGCCACATTCACATTCGTGCCACATTCACATTTGTTCCACATTCAAATTCCCAGTTCTACGTCGAAGGAATTCCGCATCCAGAGACAAACCCTTGCATCGGCAGCGCCTGAGCCTTCAGCAAAAAGCGAGAGCTGTAGCAATGGGTTTAGGGGGTGTGAATTATGCAGAGAAAAACAAACCGGAGAAGGTGATAAACAAAGTGAGTCAAGGAGTCGGAAGAGGAGAGTGAGAGGCCGACGGAAACACGAACGCGAGGGGAGAGAATAAGGGGGCAAAGGTTACTGGTTGGGTGATGGGAGGGGCATTGGGGATGGGAGGGCATGAGGGCGACGGTAAGGGACGGGAGGTGCGAGCGCGAAGGCGACGGGACGGGACGGGAGAACACGAGGGCAACAGGAAGGGACGGGAGGTGCGAGCGCGAAGGCGATGAGAGACGAGAACGTGAGAACGAGGGAGATGGGAGGGGAGAATCTGCTTGCGAAGGCGATGCGAAGACGGGAGAACTTGAGCGCGATGGCGAGGGGGGGGGAGAACGTGTGGTGCTTGGGAGAAGGTAGGGGAGTATCTGAACGCGAAGGTGATAGAAGGGGAGACCATGAGCGCAAAGGTGGTGCGAAGATGGGAGAAGATGAGCGCGATGGTGGGGGAAGGGGAGAACGTGAGCTCGATGGCGGGGGAAGGGGAGAACGTGAGCGCGATGGCGGGGGAAGGGGAGAACGTGAGCGCGATGGCGGGGGAAGGGGAGAACGTGAGCGCGATGGCGGGGGAAGGGGAGAACGTGAGCGCGATGGCGGGGGAAGGGGAGAAGGTAAGCTCGATGGTGACGGGAAGGGGAGAAAGTGAGCTCGATGGTGACGGGAAGGGGAGAAGGTTCTGCAAAGAGCGAGAGAGGTTAGGATAAATTGTCGTTGCGTATGAAGACTTTGGGCCTGAGAGAGGGCGGCAAAAACGCTGAGAAAACCAGGGAAAAAACAGAGAGAAACAACGTGAGGGAAGAGGGGAGAGAGGGCGACGGAAACATGGACGAGAGCCCGTTTCGAGGGCGAGATGAGAGGGGAACACGAGGGCGACGGGATGGGAGTGGAGAGATGATAGGCAACGGGAGGGCGGCTCAGAGCGAGCGCAAAGGCGACGAAGTGGGTAATGAGAGGGGAGTGAAGAAGGAAGCCGCTAGAGCGTTTCAAGGCCAGCGCCAGGGCGATGGGCGAGGAGAGTCGACTGCGCGCAACGAGAGGGCATTGCGGGCTTAGGGTGACGACGATGATGTGGGTAATAGGAGGGGAGACGTGGTAGGCGACGAGATTGCGCCTCGATTTCGAGGCGAGCGCATAGGCGACGAGGTGGGTGACGGGAGGGGAGAAAGCAAGGGCGACGAGAGGGCGTTTCAGGGCGAGCGAGAATGTAACGAAGTGGGTGATGGGAGGGGAAACGGGGAGGGTACGCTAAGTGCGACGGGTAAAGGGGGGGCGAAGGTAATGGCGAGGGAAAGGCGACATGGGCTGACGGCGACGCGGCGGTTGACGATTGTGCTACTGGCGGGAAAAATAGCACTGTGCTACTACTACTAGGCTACGTAATACTAAATCACGCACTCGTGCGAATAAACGCAGTCGTCAATAATTCTGTGCATATGACACAAGCACATATGCTTTCCGCTATACTATGCGTGTGGAAAAAAACTAGCGAGTAAGGGAGTAGAAATCAGGGAGTTATGAACCCAGGACCAGCTTAAAGCGACGGTGCACATTTGCCACCCAAAACCCAGAACCCTGGCGAACTGTTACTGCATATGGAAAGTGTCCGCACGAAATCCTGGTTTTCGCCAGCCAGCACTTTCGCGCTGGCAAGCCTGGTTAAAAAAAAAAACTTCTGAACCCAACACTGCCAAAAGTTGCCCGTCGCTTTAATATTGAAGTTGGCCTTGCGATGGAAACCATCGCCAGGGAACGGTCGTGCAAGTGCTGGTCGCAGAAATGTGAGCGGGAAAGTCCATACTGGCGGGAGCCACAACATCCCATTTTGGCGAGAGCCAATCACATGAGCTCACTCTGCCCGCACGTTTTGTTTCAAGCAGTGTTTTGTCAGACTTGTTTCATTCTCTCTTAGCTTTAAAAAATATTGTCGCAACACCTCTTTCAAGTTGGGACGGGGGTCACTATTTTGTATGCGGGCTTTAAGTTTTGGGCTCTAGGGATCCGCTTCATTCTTTTCCCTGAACCACTTCCCCCACGCCTCCATCTCATCAACCCCACATCTCCACACACATCCCCATGCCTCCTCCCCCTCCTCCACCTTCCCAGGCACTTCCAGCAACTTCACTGCTTTCCCCACCCCCATCCGCACTCCCTCTCTCTCATACACCCTCTCATCCTCCCCAGGAATCTCAATCCTAACCTCCCTCACTCCCGCACCCCCCACTCCCAACCTTCCACCTCCACTCCCAATCGCTCGCCCCATTTCAGACAGATTCTCAAGAAGTTCAAACTCGGGATCTAAACCAGCCCCCACACCCACCCTTGCCCCCCCCATAGGATCCCTAAACCCCGGAATCGGGTCCCGTAAACCCTCAGTAATTCCGGACTCATCCAGCGAATCTAGACCAGTTTGACGCAAGATCAACGAGAGCAACGGTCCAGATTTCTCGCACCAGAGGCAGAAGAATCCGGCAGCCACCACCTCAGCCCCGGCCGGCGACACGAGCCTGAGCGACAGCACCAGCGAATCCCGTTCCACTCGAAACAGGTCCGGGAACATCCGAGCCTCGTTTGCCGCGTGGAAAAAATCTGCAGCCGCTTGGGTGAGGCCGAGGGAGTAGGCTGTATCGATGATGGCGTTGGCAACGGCACGGGAAGATTCGATGGGGCAGGGCGGGAGGGTGAGGAATGAGCGGAATTCGGCGAGAATGCGCGGTGGGACGTGCATGTATGCGGGGTCTGCGTTGCTGTCGATGTCGTCCACGAGCTCGTCCAGGTCAGCATCTTCCTTGCTGGAGGTTTTCTTGTCTGCCATGTCAGCAGTGCTGGGATCCACGTCAGCGGTGTCTGAATCCACGTCAGCACGTGGCCGTCTAGCGGAGCTGCTGCTGCTAGTATCATCCTCATTCCCATCACTACCCTCGTTGCCACTACCATTGCTACCCTCCCATTCCATAGAGGCCAACAACACCCATTCTCCCTCTCCCTCACTCCCCGACCCCTCCACCCCTCCTGCTTGCTCCGCTCCGAAATACACCCTTTCCCCCTCCTTCTCCCTCCCCACCTGTTTCGGCCTCCTCACGCCTCCAAACCCCTTCTTTTCCTTCTCAAACCCCTTCTTATCACTCTCAAACCCTCTTCCTCCAAACCCCTTACTAACCTGCCCCTGCCCTTCCCCCCCCGCTCTCCTCCCCTTCGCTCCCCTCACTCCACTCCCCTTCCCTCCTCCTCTCCCTCCCCCACCCCGTCCCCTTCCCCCTCCCCCTCGCCCTCCCCCTCTCCCTCCCCTCCCTCCCCCCTCCTCCCTCACAACAGGAGACTGCCCTTCCTCCTGATTCGCCTTAGCCCACGCAGAAACCAGAAACCCGGACACCAGCGGCGGCGCCCCGCACCGCACAGCCTGCGACATGAGCAGCAGCAGCAGCACCGACAGATGCTGCTTCGTCCGCCCCTCCACCACCGGAATCAGCCTCGCCAGCCGGAAAAACCCGATCACCAGAGGGAAAAAGGCCGGGTCGGCCTTCCGCAGCACACTCCCTCCCTGAATCCCTCTGTAGGAATCTCCCCCCCTAATATCCCTGTTTCGATTGTCCTCTTCCATGTACTCGTTATAGAGGTACTCGTCTAGGCGCTCGTTGACTATGAACTGCGCAGTTTGCATCGCGTCGTCGAAATTCCCCCGGTCGATTTGGATGGAGAGGAGGGAGGAGAGGAGGAGGAGGTCGCTGGAGTAGGTGTAGGGAAGGGCATGACCAGCATCCTGATCGCTCTCATCGCACTTATCGCTAGAATGGATGTCGGAGGACCATCGAAAGGAGAACGGTTGTTGCTGCTGCTGCTGCTGCTCCTGTTCTCCCAGCAGCGTCGCTGTCTCTGTCGCTGTCCTGGTCACCGCACTGAATTCCTCGCCAAGGCCTTCATACCGCAGCACCGGCCGTGCAGGGTGGAGCATACTCATGCTGATACCCAAACCCACACCCATTTCCATCTGAAACCCAAACGGCCCAACCAACCCCTCTATCTTCTCCAGCCTCTCCTCCTCACCTGCTGCTGCCAGCACATGTAATCCCACACCCCAGAACACAGCTAGGTCAACGGCGCGTGCATGAGTGAAATAGACACGAAGGACTTGGTAGGATTCTTGTTCTTTGCCGAAGGAAGCGAGAGAGTGGGCGAGGGCGAGGAGGGCGGAGGAGTAGGGGGTTATGGTGAGGGAGAGGGCTTGGGAGAGGGTGGCGAGGGCTTGCTGCCATTGGCCGAGAGACGATTGACCTGATGGGGGGGGGAGATGAGGAAAAGAACATCATATGAAAGGAAGAGGGAGAGGGCTTGGGAGAGAGTGGCGAGGGCTTGCTGCCATTGGCCTAGAGAGGATTGACCTGATGGGATGGGCAGGCGAGAAAAATGAAGGAAAGGAAACAAGCTTACATCTTTCCCTCAAGGAAGAGAGAGAGAGCTCCTGATTGCATCAAAAGCACCTGAAAGCTGAAGGCTTGAAACCTTGTAACATCGTGACTCACAATGGATAACATCACTGTAGCACTTGACAGATGGCACGATCCCATTGGCCAGCAGTCCCTCCAGCACCTTCACTGCCTGCCCTGCCAGCAGCCCCTCACGACACAGCCTCACCACCCTCTCCGCCATTTCCATACTGGGGCTCCTCGGCCCCTGCTGACCCTCCCTCTCCTCCTCCTCCTCGTCCCTTTGCTGCTTCTGTCCCTTCTTCTGCTTCTGCTTCTGCTGTCCCTCCTTCTGCTGCTGCTTCTCCTCCTGCTGTTGCCCCTGCTGCTGCTGCTGCTGCTGCTTCAGCTTCTGCTGCTGTCCCTCCTTCTGCTGCTGCTGCTGCTTCCCCCCTCGTGGTCGCTCTTGCTGCAGCCTCATCACCCACTCCGCCCTCTCCATGCCCAGGCTCCGCGGCCCCTGCTGCCCCTGCTCCTGCTGGTCTTCTTGCTGTTGCTGCTTCAGCTGCTCTTGCTCCTGCTGGTCTTCTTGCTGTTGTTGCTTCAGCTGCTCTTGCTCCTGCTGCCCCTGCTCCTGCTGGCATTCTTGCTGTTGTTGCTTCAGCTGCTCTTGCTCCTGCTGCCCCTGCTCCTGCTGGCCTTCTTGCTGTTGTTTCTGCTTCAACTCCAGCAGCTGCGGTTGCTCCAGCCCCTGCTGTTGCTGCTGTTGCTCCTGCTGTTGATTTTCCTGCTTTGGCTCTTGTTTCTGCTGCTGTCCCGTCGCTGTCATCTCCATGCTGAGGTTTTTTCGTCTCTCTTGTTCTTGCCCTTTCTGTTGCTCTTGCTCTTGCTCTTGCGCTTGATCTTTCACTTGCTCTTTCTGCTGCTGTTGTTCTTGCTGCTGCTCTTTCTGTTGCTGTTGCTCTTGCCCTTCCTGCTGCTGATATTGCAGCACCTCCCCCTCCTGCTCCTGCTCCTGCTCCTCCCCCTCCTCCCTTTTCACAAGCATCTCCCCTTGATCACCAAATCTTTCCACAGCCCTAAGAATCGCATCGACCACGCCCCCTCCCTCCCCTTCCTCTCCCTCCCACTCCTCCCCATCCTCCCCACCGCCTCCACTTCCCTCCCGACCAATCCCGTCGCGCCACGTGTCAACCACGCTGAGGTACACCCTGGCAGCGCCACGTGGCGAGTTGGCAGCCTCACACGCTGCCAGCATGGCGCCCAGGCTGTTGCGATTGGGCAGCACGCGCTGAGACGCCATGAGAGCGAGCACTGCGAACATGTGCTCTGGATGGGCGTCTTGTAACGCCTGAGGGGCAAGGGGAAGAGTGGGGAGGGGGGGCATTGGAAGGGTGGGGAAGGGAGTGGGGTCATCAGCACGCGCTGTGATGCCATGAGGGCAAAGACGGCAAACATGTGCTCTGGATGGGCGTCTTGTAACGCCTGAGAGGCGTGGGGGGGGGGAAGGAGTGGGAAAGGAGGGGGGAGGGGAGTGGGGCCAACAGCACGCGCTGTGAAGCCATGAGGACAAGCACTGCGAACATGTGCTCTGGATGGGCGTCTTGTAATGCATGAGGGGCAAGGGGAAGAGTGGGGAGGGATGGGGAGGGGCATGGGTACGGGCATGGAGTAGGGTGGGGAAGGGAGTGTGTGTGAGTCACCAGCATGCGTTGTGATGCCATGAGGGCGAGCACTGCAAACATGCTCTGGATAGCCGTCTCGAAGCTCTTCAGCTGCTCCAACGGCAGCAGAGAGTCAGCAAGCATTCATTTCCCCCACATCGAAGCAACTTACATAGCGAGGAGTAACACCCTAAAACGAGTACATGACTCACCAGCAGCAGCATGTTATACGCTGACAGGTTGCCATATCCCAGATGCACCCTCTTCACTTCCTCGAACACCCTCTCCACACTCTCATTGCTCCCATTTGAGGAACCTTGTAACGAGTATGCAACTAATAACGAGTACACCACCACAACTCACCAACACGAGAGTGTTATAAGCCGACAGGTTGCCATGCCTGGGATGCACCCTCTTCAGTTCCTCCAACACCAGTAATGCCTCCCCCAGCCAGCAGCCTTTGATAGTTTCTCACTCATCTTGAGGCATCTTATAACGAGTACAGCACTCACCAGCAAGAGAGTGTTATAAGCCGACAGGTTGCCATGCCCAGGATGCACCCTCTTCACCTCCCCCAACACCAGCAGTGCCTCCAAGACCGTCAGCACCTTATAACGAGTACATGGCTCACCAGCAGCAGTGTATTATAAGCCGACAGGTTGCCATGCCATGCAATCCCCTCAGTTCCAGCACCAGCAGCGCCTCCCCTAGCTCTCATTGCTCCCATCTTTAGGTACCTTATAACGAGTATGCATCATATAACAATTAAGATTCTCACCAGAAGCAGTGTATTATAAGCAGACAGGTTCCCATGCCCCGGGTGCACCCTCTTCAGCTCCTCCAGCACCAGTAGAGCCTCCCCCAGTCGTCCCCCCCTCCCGAGCACGTCTATCAACATGCGGTAGACGGGGGGGGAGAATGAGAGCCCTTGCGCTCGTGCTGCTGCCACTAGCCCTTTCACCTAACAGAGGATTGAGAGAACACGGGATGCAAATATGGCGGGAAATGAAAGGGAGTGTGTCAGTGAGAGCTGCAGAAGCGCCTCCCCCAGTCACCCCCACTCCCAAGCACGTCTATGAGCAGGATAGACGGGGGGGGAAGAATGGGAGTCTCGCCAGCCCCAGGGCCTGCATGACAGCAGCATAGGAGCGCATGGAGAGACAGACGGGTGCTTGCACGCACCACACACCTGTCACATACACACAACATCCATTCTGGATACACTACAGCACTATACACACCTGGTCGAAGCGCCCCGCCAGCCCCAGGGCCTGCATGAGAGCAGCATAGGAGCGCATGGAGAGACGCAGACCCACCCCTTCAATCTCCATCACCACTCGTGCCACATTCGCCATCGCTGCTGCCGTGCCCTCACTGCCTTTTGAGTCGCCTCAAAAGTCTGCTGCCTGTCGTGCCCTCACTCACCTCTACATCGCGCATCATACATTCAACGCACCTGATCAAAGTGACCTGCAAGGCCCAACGCTTGCATGACAGCAGCGTACGAGCGCATGGAAAGACGCAGCCCCGCCCCCTCCACCTCCATCACCACCCGTGCCACATCCGCCATCGCTGCTGCCTGCCGTGCCCTCACCTCCTCCTCCTCTTCCTCCTCCTCCGCCTCCTCTCTCCCCCACTCCCCTCCCTCCTGCTCGTCCTCTAAATCGCTCTCCACGTATCCATCTCCCTCCTTGTCTGCTTCTTTTCCCTCCTCCTCCTCTCCCTGGGCTTGAGGTTGTCTACCTTCTTTTAGTGGAGGGGAAGGACCCTCAGCATCAGTATCAGTATAAGCAGACGCATCAGCAGCAACAGCAGAGGCCTTGCGTCTGTCTCTGCTTCTCTCTCGTCTTCTTGGGTTGCGGGCGCAGCGACGGGCGTACACCTCGAGGAGAGTGTTGTACGACTCCTGATGATGAGGAGTGGTGTGATGAGGTGTGATGGGGTATGTATGGGGGATGAGGTTCGCAGTTAGGGGTCTTTAGGGTATGGAGGAAAGCGCAGCGACGGGCGTACACCTCCAGGAGAGTGTTGTACGACTCCTGATGAGAGGGAGAGGATGAGTTGGGGGTGAGTTGATGGATGAGCGGATGAGTTACACCTTGAAATTAGTGGATGAGTTGCACCTTCAAATGAGTGGATGAGTTGCACCTTCAAATGAGTGGATGAGTTGTGGGAGGAGCGGGCGTGCACCTTCAAGAGAGTGTTGAAGGACTCTTGGCGAGAGGCATGGGAGGATTGGGGGATGAGAGTAGAGGTTTGGGAGTTTGGGTTGGGAGAGGAAGGTGTGGCAATGGGCCACCGACCACCCAACCCACCAATCGCAGCCGACGATAGATAGACTCACCAATCGCAGCGTGCCATCTGGCGACAGCACCCGGAGCCGATTGACCACCATCTCCATCTGCTCCATCCGACCCGCCCTCCCATACGCCATCATCAGCGCATTGCACACCGCCATGCTGTCCCTCACTGTCGGCTCATCTCCAATCCCCAGCTCTTCAACACCAACGTAGATGGAGGAGGAATCAGCAGCAACAGCAGCTGAGGTGGCGATAGTTGTGTTTCGGCTAGGCTGCTCGTCCATCTCGGCCACTAAAGCATCCACCTCGCCCCACATGCCCGCCCGTGCATACCCCATGATCAGCTGCGCGTACGACTCGCCACTGTGAGGGATGGCCATCTGCAGTGCGGTGGGGTGCGGTGGGGTGCGGTGGGGTGGGGGTGGGGTGGGGTGGGGTGGGGTGGGGTGGGGTGGGATGGGGTGGGGTGGGATGGGGTAGGTGGGTAGACAGGGCATGCTTGCATCCACCTCGCCCCACATGCCCGCCCGTGCATACCCCATGATCAGCTGCGCGTATGACTCGCCACTGTGAGCGATCGCCATCTGCGGTGCGGTGGGGTAGGGTGGAGGAGGGTAAATATGACAGGAATGGGAGAGACACAGAGTAGAGGGAGAAGGTAGTAGGTAGAACTCATCTTCTCCATGACCACGCACTACCAAGACCCATGTCTCCTAGCTACCAAGAGTCCACCCTTCCCACTGCCAAGATCCCACCTTCCGCATGAGCGAAGCCACTCGATTCATCTCGACTCCCAGCCCGCGCTTGCCCAGCGCCGCCAGCAGCAGCCGCAACATGCACAGGTCCCCCGACCCCACACCTTTCCTACTACCAACATCCCACCTTCCTCCTCACCACCCAGGCCTCACCTTCCGCATGAGGGAGGCCACTCGTTTCATCTCGACCCCCAGCCCGCGCTTGCCCAGCGCCGCCAGCAGCAGCGTGCACATGTCCGCGTCTATCAGCGCACGGGTGGCCCTCGTCCCTCGCATCAGCTCGAATAACTCCAATGTATCGCGGGTGATGCCTGGTGGGAACGAGAGATGGAGAATGGGAAAAGAGGGGTCAGTGCTATTCGCCGCCAGGTCTGCACCCGTCTACCAGCACCCATCTGCCCCTTGTCCCGCGCATCAACTCAAACAACTCGAGTGCATCGCGGGTGATGCCTGGTTGGAAAGAGGCACAGGGTACAATGGGAAAATGGGGTCAGTGCCACACAAGTCCGCGTCTATCAGCGCACGGGTGGCCCTCATCCCGTGCATCAACTCAAACAACTCGAGTGCGTCGCGCGAGTAATGCATGGTTGAGGGATGAGAGCGGGAATACATGGAAGAGAGAGGGATTATTCGGAAGAGGGGGCCGGGGCGGCACACACATGTCCGCGTCTATCAGCGCCCGAGTGCCCCTCGTCCCACGCATCATCTCAAACAGCTCCAATGCATCGCGGGTGATGCCTGATGAGGGAACAAAAGATGGAGAACGGGGAAAAGGGGGGTCTGTGCTACACGCCAGGTCTGCACCCGTCTATCAGCGCCCGCATGCCCCTTTGAGTTTTGAGGCGCCTCAAAATCCGCGAGCATTGAGGTGAGTTTGAGGCGCCTCAAAACTCACCTCAATTCTCAGGTCTGCACCCGTCTATCAGCGCCCGCATGCCCCTCGTCCCGCGCATAAACACAAACAGCTAAAACGTGTCGCAAGTCACGTGCGGTTAGAAAACTTCCAGGGGATCCAAGACAGTGAGAGAGAAAGTAAGACAGTGAGGTCTGCTCTAAGAAACTCCACGTTTATGAGCGATGGACAGACAACCCTCCTCGCCTCGCCTGCGTCTATCAGCATAAGCAGCTCAAGTGCAAACAAGCTGATTTAAACTATAGTGAGCTCCAAAAAAATGTCGAGAAGATGCCATTGTTTTCCACGTCATGGTTTTTTTAAGATCATCAACTTAAATCGTGAATTGCCTTACCTATGAAACGAAAGAAAAGAAGAAGAAAAAGATGTCGTCGTGACCTGACGGATCGTGATGGCACTCGAACTCGTCGTGAATACGGCCGAAAAATGGGCACTTTTTTGCATGACGATTTTACGCATTTCAAGAAAAGACTTAAACAAAAAAATCATGGATACGGTCGAAAGAGCGACATTATTCAGCACCGCATTTTTTTATTTATTATGTGTGTAAATATAAATACACACACACACACACACACACATACACACACACACACACACACACGCACGCACACGCACACACACACACACACACACACACACACACACACACACACACACACACACACACACACACACACACACACATATATACATATAACGTGGACATGGCCGAGAGAGGGACAAAGGATGAGGACAAACAAATTTTGTCATCGAGAAGAGTGAGCATACCGAGAGCGGAGAGTGTGAGCATGCAGGCGCGGAAGAGCTGTCTATCGGGCATGAGTCCCGCGTCCATCATGCAAGTGAGGTAGAACACGGCCTTGCTGGGGTTGCGCTCGCGACACAGGCCGAGGATGAGCATGCGGAAGGTGAGCTGGTGGGGTGGGGGTGGGGGGTGCGCGAAATGACTTTTGAGTCGACTCAATTGCCATTCCGAGGATGAGCATGCGGAAGATGAGCTGATGGGGGAGGGGAAGAGATTGAGAGGGTGGGTAGTGCGGATAATGGAATGAGGACAATCAAGTGGGCCTTGCTGGGGTTGCGCTCGCGACACAGGCCGAGGATGAGCATGCGGAAGGTGAGATGATAGGATAGGGGTGGGTGTGTGAAGCATAGGATGAAAGGCCTTGCTGGCTCTGCTTGTGATTGAGGCCAAAGATAAGCATTTGGAAGGTGAGTTGATTAGATAAGGGTGGGAGAGACGCTTCAATGGAATGGAGAGAATGGATGGAAAGGGCGGATCAAGACTCAAGAGGGCATTCCGAGGTTTGGCCACCGCACGCTCACAGGGCATGAAAGAATGAAGCATGCCCTCCCACCCACTCACCTCGCTCGGTGTGACCATCTGTAAGGTACTCTCCCTCCGCCACCCCTCCCTCTTCACCCCCACAATCTCATCCATGAGTCTCATCGCCTCTGCCACGCCCGCCTCCCTCCCCTGCCTCCCCGTCCTCCCCCCACTCACCTCGTTCGGTTCGACCTTCTGTAAGGTACTCTCCCTCCGCCACCCCTCCCCCTTCACCCCCAGAATCTCATTCATGATCCTCATCGCCTCGGCCACTCCCGCGTCTCCGCCTTGCCCCAACAAGGCCTTCATGACTGCATGCACGTCCTCAAGGCGAGGGACCACGTTTCTGCGCGGCATCCTCTCGCGCAGCACGCGAGGTGCTCGCTTCAGCTCCCCCTCTTGCAGCAGCGCGCGGATCAGGAAGGAGAAGGTGAGCTGTGCGGTTCATGGAAGTAGGTGGTTCAAAGAAGAAGAAAGAAAGGAAAGAAACGATTATTGTGAAAGAAACGATTATTGTGATGCCCCCCCTCTGCCCCAATCATGTCTTCATGATGACTGCATTCGCGTCTGCTAGGTGAGAAACCAGGTTTTTGAAATCCCTGAGAGCACTAGCGGGCTGACGAAGCTTCAAGAACTCTGCATCCAGTCATTCTGGAATGAGCAGAAACTTCGCGAGTCCATTAAGGGTTTCAGGCGCGTGGAGAGCTTGCGCATCATGGATTGCGAGAGCCTGACTCAGATGCCCACATTTTGAGGTACTTGAGTATCTCAAGACTCTTCAAATTCCTGGGCATCTGAGCGAGGCTCTCACAATCCACGATGCGCAAGCTCTCCAGGTGCCTCATACCCGTAATGGACTTGGAAATTTCTCACTCGTTCCAGAATGACTGTATGCAGAGATCTTGAAGCTTCGTTGGCCCGCTGATGCTTTCGAGAATCTCAAATAATCTGCACATGAACCAGACCAAACGACAACTATACCACTCACCTCCCCCTCCCATTCTCACCGGAGTGGGTCTTAGTTCACCGCCCATCCTGTACATCTCCTCCACCAGCGCGTTGCATCCCTCCAACCCCGCCCGCCCGCCCTCCTTCAAGCACCCCTTCATCACCAGGTGGCATAACGCCAAAGAAGGCCGCCCTTCCCCCGCCGGCCGCCCTTCCCCCGCCTTCCTCCCCCCCTTATCCCCCCACTTGACTCCCCATTCAGGCCCCCCCTTCCCCCTGCCTTTCCCCCACTCTGTGCCGGCCCCCTTCCTATTCCCCTTGCCCTGCCCCTTGCCCTGCCCCTTGCTTTCCCCCTTGCTCTGCCCCTTGCTCTGCTCGTTCCTCATCTTGGAAAACACAGCAAGTGCACGCAGGCCCTTGCCAGTGCCAACCAAAGCTCCTATGAGCTGGCTGTAGACGCGGTGAGGGATGGGGACGGGAGGCGGATGAATTTCCTCCCACTGTTCCTGCTGCTGCTTCAACTGCTGCTTCTGCTGCCCCTGCTGCACCTGCTGCCCTTTCTGCCCCTTCTCCTGCTGCTCCTCCAGCTGCTCCTGCGTCTGCTGCTCTCCCCCCATGACCATCGCTTCAGCCTCCTCCACACGCCCCAAGCGAAGCAGCATCGTCACAACAGCACCATATGCACTTGATGTCGGCCCAAACAGGTGCGGTCGCACCTCTCCCTCTTGAGCCTCTTCCGGTGCCTCAGAACTCAGCTCAACTGCTGCCCCTCCTTTAGTCTCGTCTTTTAACACCCCATCCTCTCCCTCTCCCCCACTTGCCTTCCTCCTCTCGACTCCCTCTCTCCCATTTTGCATCTCTCTTTCGAGTTTTTTCGCCTCCCTTGCTCTCTCCTCCTCCTGTACCATCTTTCTTCGTTGATCACTACTCATCCCCTCCCACTCCCTCTCCCTCCTCTCCTCCATCCACTTCAGCAGCGCCAGTGCTTTCTCACTCTCTTCAGCAATCGCCAGCTCATACAGCACCTGCGACACCTCAGCACTGCCCAGTGACACGTCATCACTGGCCTGATCCACCTCAGCACGACCAACCTCACCGCCTTCCCCCTGCGACACACCGCCGAGCCAGCTCATCAGCTTCGGCAGATCCCGAACCTCCTTGAGCCCTTCAATGGCCCCCAGCAGCAGCGCTACCTGCCCCAAATCCACCACTCTCAACTCCTCCACATCTAGACTCCCTCCTGCTCCTAATCCATTCCCCCCTCCTTCCACCTTCCCCACTTTGTCTCCTCCATATTCCATCTTCACCGCTTCCAACTCCTCGCTCGACTCACTCTCACCTTCGCTCGACTCTCCCCCTTCTCCCATCCGTCGCTCGCCTTCGCCCATCTCTCCCTCCTGTCCCTCCCTGCGCCTCTCACCCAACACTCCCTCACCCCCATCACCATCCCCCTCTCTCCTCTCTCCCGCCCCATCTTCCCACACGTTCTCTTCTCCTCCCTGCCCTATCGCCCCCTGCCTTCCCTCCCCTTGCCTCTCCATTGCCTCTTTCAACTGAGCAGTTTTTTCAGGCGTCTCAAGAATCACCTTGCCTTGCCTCTCCAAGGCCTCTTTAAGCTGAGCTGCCAGCAGCATCACCCTTCTCGCCCTCCTCCTCTCCCTCTTCCTCTCCACCCTCTGCTGCTCTTCCAGTCTCTTCTTCTCCTCCTCCTTGCTCTCCCTCTCCGCCTCTTGTCTCACCTTTCCACTCTCTTTCACTCTTTCAGGTGCCTCTAAAGTCTCTCTTCCCTCGCTCGTCCGTACAGGCGCCTCAAGATCCTCTCCCCTCCTCCTCATCCCTTCATCCACATCTGGTCTCCCCCCTGCTGCTTGTTGAGGCGTCTCAAAGGTCTCTCTTCCCTTGCTCATTCGTTCAGGAGACTCAGAGGTCTCCCTTCTCTCTCTCGTCCTTTCAAGCGCTCGCTCGTTTGGATCATCTCCCCTCGTCATCCTCATCCCTTGATCCACATCTGACAGCCCCTCTGCTGAATCCGCCTCTCCTTCCTCCACTCCAATCCGCACCTCATTACCCTTTTCTATCGCAATCCACCCCGCGTTATCCTCTTCCTCACTCTCTTCTGCCTCCCTTGGCACAAACCCCTCAATTCTCTCCTCCTCCTCCTCCTCTCCCCTTCTCCTTTCCACCTCCCCCGAACTAGACTCAACCCCTGGCCTCTCTCTCTGCTCGCTTTCCCCCTCCCTCTCACCCCTCACTTCCTGGCTCGAATCCCACCCAGCCGCCAACTCCCCCTCGTCTCCCCCTGCCTCGTTATACCCCTTATAGTCTGCCTCGTTGCTAGCGCCTTGCACATCCAAGGGCTCGTCTTTGATGCCAGGGCTTGGCGCTTTTCGCTCTGCCTTTGCCATACTAGGAGGAAGAGGAGGAGAGGAGGAAGGAGACAGAGGAGGAGAGGGAGGAGAGGGAGGAGGAGGAGGAGGAGGAGGAGGAGGAGGAGAGGAGGAAGTAGAAGGAGGAGGAAAGGGAGGAGGAGTAAGAGGAGAACGGGAAGGAGAAGGAGGAGGGGAGGCAGAAGGAGGAGAGGGAGGAGGAGGAGGAGGCGAGGGAACGGGCAGTGAAATGGAAGGAGGAGGCGTGGCTATGCGAGATTCTCTACTGCTAGAAGGAAGGGGAGATGAAAAGGTCGATTCAGGTGGTTTGGCAGGTTCAAGGAACTGGGCAGGTGATTTATCAGGTTCTGGCGATTCGGCAAGTTCAGGTGATTTTGCAGGTTCAGATGACAGGGCAGATTCAGGTGGCTTGGCTGCTTCAGGTGATTTAGCTGGTTCAGGTGACTTGGCAGGTTCAGGTGGTTTGGCTGGTTCAGGTGTTTTGGCAGGTTCAGGTGTTTTGGCAGGTTCAGGTGACTTGGCAGACTTGGATGAAATGGGTGGGTCAATGGTGGCTTCGAGCGGTTTGGAGGGGTTGGGAGAGGTGACTGACTGGAACCATTGAACAGCATCAGCGAGGCCACGTGCCACATCTCCCCCAAACCCAAACAACCCCTTCCCACCACCGCTGCTGCTGCCACCACCGCTGCTTCCTCTGCTGCCACTGCTACTGCCACCGCTGCTGCTGCTGCCACTGTTACTACTGCTGCTGCCAGTCCTGGTCACCTCCATGCCCATGTCTCTCTGCTCACTGCGGCCTTCAGCAGCCTTCTTGCTAGCGGAGTCAAGATAAGCTGCAAGCTCTGCCTCAACCTCTGCCACATCAACTTCTTTAGAAGAACCATCTCTCCTCTCAATCACCATGACCCCCTTCCCCTCCTCTCCCCTTCCGATACCCCCATCTTTCCCTCTCTCAAAGCTCTTGAAACGTTTTAACAGCATTTCGCCTTTCTTCTCCCCGTTTCTCTCACCCCCGCTCTCACCATCCCTCCCACTCTCACTGCTGCCGCTTTTCCCGCCCTCACTCATCCCTATCTGCCGCTTGGCTAAGCCTTTCACAAACACATGCACGAACATCTCAGCATCACTAGGCACCCTCATCCCTCCCTTCCCATCCGGGATCCCTGGCATGGGCAGACCCAAAAACCAGAGTGCTGCAAGGCTATCCATATCTGAAACGCCATCCATCCCCTTACTCTTCTCCCACATCTCCTCCTCCTCTCTGCTCATCCCGATACCCCCGCTTCCTCCACTTCCCCTGGCCACCTCGCCTGTTCTAGCCACAGACTCAAAATTCCTCCTGCGTGGGTCGGCGGCTTGTGCTCTAGACGCCACCCCCCTGGGAACTCCCTGAAGGGAACCCACCCGTTTCCCTCCCCCCTTTCGGTTTCCACTGCTCTTTTTCCCTGCTGCCTTGCCTGCGGCCTTTCCCGCTGCTGTCGCTCCAAAACCTTTTGGCTTGGAGTCACCTCTACTGCTGCTGACGGTGCCATCGTCGTCTTCGTCGCTGCTGCTGTCGCCATCGTCAGTGGGGTTACCACTGTTGGTGTTACTTCCATCCTCCGGTTCTGCAACAGGAAGGGAGTGGGGAAGGCAGAACGCAAAAGGGTCTCTGACTTGACCAGTAGGTAGGTAGGTCAGGGAACGGCCAGAAGGGCCGAAAAAGGCCGCTATCTCTGGGAACATTAATCGGAGAAAAGTTCTCTTAAAGTGAAATTACGAGTGATACAACATGAGTTAACCAACTTCGAATCCAATGAAATCAATATGAACTAAGGGCGCGTAACCATTTTGGTTTTGACGGTTCGTTATTCGGACGGTCCGTTCGAAATAGTGGTAACGTTTGTCGCCAATGCTCGCAGATGTTTCGCTAGTCACCCTGCGACGTCGCCGTCGCAACATAACCGCATGGAACTTTTTCCGCAAAACGGAGGGAACCCGTCACTTGGACGGTTACGGTTCGTCAGCAACGAATTGATCAAATATGGCGACTTGTTCGTTTCTAAACGTAGCTTCAAGAAAATCCAAAATGGTTACGCGCCCTAAGTCTATTTCAAGTCAGTGAGTGTACCAACTAGGCTTGGCTGAACCTGATAAATCAGCCACTTCCAGAGACCCAGGATTGCAGTCAAAACCGAGCCTAGAGGCTCGGACCTTACCAGGGTCTGGAGGCCTGGGCCAGAGCGAGAAACGAGGACGGTCGGGGGGAGGATCGGGCGGGGAAGAGGGTCCCGGCGGAGTGCTGCGTCCTGCCGCCGTCCTTGTGCTAAACGACCGACCCACACCACCTCTAAAGCTCTCGTGCGATGGTCTTTGAGTCGGCCCAGAAGCAGGATGGGGAGGCGAAGAGGGTCCCGGCGGAGTGCTGCGTCCTACCGCCGTCCTTGTGCTAAACGACCGACCCACACCACCTCTAAAGCTCTCGTGCGATGGTCTTTGAGTCGGCCCAGAAGCAGGATGGGGAGGCGAAGAGGGTCCCGGCGGAGTGCTGCGTCCTACCGCCGTCCTCGTGCTAGACGACCGACCCACAGCACCCCTAGGTTCATGAGCGAAAACCCCCCGTCGCGGGGCCAGGGACGGTGCCCGCACGTGAACTCCGCATGCGCCAAATGCTCCGCCGAATGCGCGCGGAGAACATTGCGGTCGGAAACCGCGGTTATTATCAAGCCGAACCGCCTGATTGCAACTCAACGTGCGGTTAGAGGTGCGAACTACACATAGAGCCGTTGAGGTGCAGAGTAGAGGCGTCGAGGAACGACGCGGACGGAAACGAATTGACGACGCCGCTGAAGAGCCGTGCGCTGCAGCCAATCCAACTGAGCCACGTGGCGCTGACGTGACATTCGGACGACTGATGGTAGAGGCAAGCGGCTTGGCCATGGGTCTCATGCACGCTGAGCATACCACGTGTCTTCGAACCTGTGATACCACGTGGAATGCTTCTATTGGCGAGCGGTTGCGGGATTCACGACGTCATCAAGACCCAGTACAACAACCGGGACCCCTAGCCATTGCGACGCTATTATCGCGTCCGACGCGAGCACTCCATAGCAAGCACGGCACTGTAATCTTCTTATGCCGTCAAGAACCTAGAAATACTCTTTTGCTGAGACTCAGCAGCTTCTGAATTGCGTGGCCTAGACGACATATGCAAGGGGAGTGTGAAACAAGGCAGAGCGGCAGTTGCATAACGGAACAACTGACGGAATGCGATGGTGGAAGAAACGGACGGGGCGGGAATCGGAAAGTTCAATGTCAGAGGCAACTTCAAGAGGAGATGAAGAGACCGACCGTAATCGGATTCAGCACATCGAAACGAACAGAACCGATATCTATATACATAAAGCCGAGCTGCACCAGAAAACAGAGGCACAAAATGAATGGTCAGGCTGAACAAGCTTCGCAGCTGACATTCATGACATTACCAAGCGACCGCTAGAAGGAATTACGGTTTCCCGTATCAGCATATAGACTGTTGCTGATAAACATTGTAGAATTAGAATTAGACACGCTACAGACACTAACCCTCTGGCCGCCTGTCGCAGCTGCCTCCTTAAAGCCCAAGACCTGAATTACTCAACGGAAGTCAACGCTAAAAACTAGGTTCGGGAGGCAGGCACGGAGAGGTTCGGTTGGGTTGCGAGAGACTTTCACTCGCGAAACCAATTTGCGACAAAAGTTTCTCGCTTCCCATGATGGGTGGGGTCCAGGGCTGACTTTATCAGACTAAAATAGTCTGATTGTCTGAAATCTCAGGGTATTTTCCTACGGATCCTGATTTTTCAGACTTGTAAGATTTTCAAACATGAGTGCCTCAGACTTACTTGGTTTTGGATCCTGAGATTTTCAGAGTACTGACTTAGCCGATAATGGGTCTTCATACTACAGGGAGTACGGATCCTGAAATGCGGATCTGTGATTTCTACGTACCGTGAGCTCCCGCCTAGAAGACCCGGGGGTCTTATCCTAAATGTGCTCAAAATGGGCTGTGGGGTCTTATCTGATGGCATAGAGTGCATAAGACCCCCGGACATTTATAAATCACACAAAAATGGATTGTAAAGACCAGTATTGATGAATTTCAATATTTTTTTTGCGAATTCGAGTACGGCTCAAAACGCGGAATTCTATCGCCACTCTCGCTTCGCGCACATCAATCGTTGCCACCAGGGCTCATTTTTTGTTTTGACCAACCCTTACGATCAGTCTAGCACCTGTTCAAAAACCTGATTTTCAGGGTTACCCGTTGTGGAAAACCTGATGCGTCAGGGTTTTTGCACATATTAAAACGACTACCCTGAGGCATCAGTGTACCAATTCGCAAAACCCTGTTTCAGTTGTTCTTGTAACACAGCACACAATAACAAGCTCAATCATCATCATCAGACATGCCACAAGGTTGTTGCTCGTGGTCACTGTCCTCCTCTGGCTCCGGCACTTTCTCCTTGCCTCGAATGAAACTGTATTTCTGGCCAATGGTGGCCCACCTCGTTCCAGCACACGTAAAGTCCTGCCGAAATCTACATTTTCGACAGTTGGCAAAGGGAAAATCCTGGTTCCGGGGTCGGGTGGTTAGGGGACGGGGGGGGGGGGGGGGGGTGGGAGTTCGCTGGTACGCGCTTCAGGGTAAACCTCGATAAGCGGAACGGCAACCCTGAGGCGACAGTGTTCCTTAATCTTAAAACCTGGCACATCAGGGTAAATCAAGGTCCCGAAAAATTTACCCAACAGCATCAGTGTTACTACCAAAAATTACCCTTCTAATCAGGGCATCAGGGTGATTTACACTGATAACGTGGGCCCTGGTTGCCACGCGTCACACCTCCTGTAATGCCCAATTGTGACAGGTACGTCAGCATTTCTCGCGTGACGGGCGGCAAAAGCGCATGATCGACGTGGCATCATGAGTCCATTGACCACGAATTCGCCCACAACGTGAATCTGGTGTTTTTTTAATGTGACTCGCTAAGCATCTCACCGGTTAAACACCACCCATGCAAAAGAGGGGGGGTCTTATAATGAATGGGGTCAAAAGGCGGGTCCTCTCCAGGACTGACTTAATAAAAGACCCTTGGTCCGGATAGAAGACCCACGGGGCTTGTACGCGGGGGGGTCTTGTAACCGGGAGATCACGGGTACATTCCGCTTCGTCATATGTTGCCAGTGTACGAACACACTTCATGGCGCTGTCACGCGCAGAATCTGTCCTTGGCAACTTTTGCCACCCTTTTCCCTTAGAAATCTGCCAACTTGGCTCACTCTTCCACTCACGCGGGACCATCACTGCAGCTACGCGGTGTCAGCGAGGGAAACTGGTTAGCGTTGTGCCCCACGTGCTACATTTGTGGCAGTACTGTACTGCAGTGGTTGTAGTGTGTTCTGAGTACTTCAGACGTGTTTTTGCGGAACCTGAAAAATCAGAGTGGCCATTCTCTGGGAAATATGCCTCAGACAAAATTTTCAGAGCCCCCAGAACATCAGACTGGATTTTTTTGAATAGTCAGCCCTGGTGGGGTCCTTCCCACAACCAGAAAAGCACGTGCATACCAAACTGTGCACAGTTTGAGATTGCACGCAGAGTAATAGGCATAGACCATACCTGTAGACAGGGCAGGGCGTCGGCGTTCACTCAAAAGGGATCAGATGCGCCTTACGATGTGGGTGGCGCGGATTTTGATGATGACGCGCAAAGCTAGTGCTCGCTGGGTGAAGATTTTTGTGTCGAAATGCATTTTATTGTGCAACTACTGCGTAGCGTAAACTCGCGGCGAAAATCGAATCGCACCCGTTCGCCCAAGCGTGACCCTCCCCTCGCCCTCGCTTTCATTTCCCTAGGTCCCACGCTTCCGCTCTCTGTCGTCCGCGTCGTCGCCATCGCTTCCGCAGCTCGTCGCGTTCGCGACCCCTGCCCGTCGCCTTCACTTCCCCCCCGTCGCCTTCACTCCCCCCCCCCTTCCCCCCCCTTCCGTCGCCTTCACTTCCCCCTCTCGTCGCCTTCACTTCCCCCTCCCGTCGCCTTCACTTCCCCCTCCCCTCGCCTTCACTTCCCCCTCCCGTCGCCTTCATTTCCCCCTCCCCGTCGCCTTCACTTCCCCTCCCGTCTCCTTCATTTCCCCCTCCCGTCGCCTTCACTTCCCCTTCCCGTCGCCTTCACTTCCCCCTCCCGTCGCCTTCACTTCCCCTTCCCGTCGCCTTCACTTCCCCCTCTCGTCGCCTTCACTTCCCCCTCCCGTCGCCTTCACTTCCCCCTCCCGTCGCCTTCACTTCCCCCTCCTCTCGCCTTCACTTCCCCCTCCCGTCGCCTTCACTTCCCCCTCCCGTCGCCTTCATTTCCCCCTCCCCGTCGCCTTCACTTCCCCTCCCGTCTCCTTCATTTCCCCCTCCCGTCGCCTTCACTTCCCCTTCCCGTCGCCTTCAAGTCCCCCTCCCGTCGCCTTCACTTCCCCCTCTCGTCGCCTTCACTTCCCCCTCCCGTCGCCTTCACTTCCCCCTCCCCTCGCCTTCACTTCCCCCTCCCGTCGCCTTCATTTCCCCCTCCCCGTCGCCTTCACTTCCCCTCCCGTCTCCTTCATTTCCCCCTCCCGTCGCCTTCACTTCCCCTTCCCGTCGCCTTCACTTCCCCCTCCCGTCGCCTTCACTTCCCCTTCCCGTCGCCTTCACTTCCCCCTCTCGTCGCCTTCACTTCCCCCTCCCGTCGCCTTCACTTCCCCCTCCTGTCGCCTTCACTTCCCCCTCCTCTCGCCTTCACTTCCCCCTCCCGTCGCCTTCACTTCCCCCTCCCGTCGCCTTCATTTCCCCCTCCCCGTCGCCTTCACTTCCCCTCCCGTCTCCTTCATTTCCCCCTCCCGTCGCCTTCACTTCCCCTTCCCGTCGCCTTCAAGTCCCCCTCCCGTCGCCTTCACTTCCCCTTCCCGTCGCCTTCACTTCCCCCTCTCGTCGCCTTCACTTCCCCCTCCCGTCGCCTTCACTTCTCCCTCCCGTCGCCTTCACTTCCCCCTCCCGTCGCCTTCACTTCCCCCTCCCGTCGCCTTCACTTCCCCCTCCCGTCGCCTTCATTTCCCCCTCCCCGTCGCCTTCACTTCCCCTCCCGTCTCCTTCATTTCCCCCTCCCGTCGCCTTCACTTCCCCCTCCCGTCTCCTTCATTTCCCCCTCCCCGTCGCCTTCACTTCCCCTCCCGTCTCCTTCATTTCCCCCTCCCGTCGCCTTCACTTCCCCTTCCCGTCGCCTTCACTTCCCCCTCTCGTCTCCTTCATTTCCCCCTCCCGTCGCCTTCACTTCCCCTTCCCGTCGCCTTCACTTCCCCCTCCCGTCGCCTTCACTTCCCCCTCCCGTCGCCTTCACTTCCCCCTCTCGTCGCCTTCACTTCCCCCTCCCGTCGCCTTCACTTCCCCCTCCCGTCGCCTTCACTTCCCCCTCCTCTCGCCTTCACTTCCCCCTCCCGTCGCCTTCACTTCCCCCTCCCGTCGCCTTCATTTCCCCCTCCCCGTCGCCTTCACTTCCCCTCCCGTCTCCTTCATTTCCCCCTCCCGTCGCCTTCACTTCCCCTTCCCGTCGCCTTCAAGTCCCCCTCCCGTCGCCTTCACTTCCTCTTCCCGTCGCCTTCACTTCCCCCTCTCGTCGCCTTCACTTCCCCCTCCCGTCGCCTTCACTTCTCCCTCCCGTCGCCTTCACTTCCCCCTCCCGTCGCCTTCACTTCCCCCTCCCGTCGCCTTCACTTCCCCCTCCCGTCGCCTTCATTTCCCCCTCCCCGTCGCCTTCACTTCCCCTTCCCGTCGCCTTCACTTCCCCCTCTCGTCGCCTTCACTTCCCCCTCCCGTCGCCTTCACTTCCCCCTCCCGTCGCCTTCACTTCCCCCTCCCGTCGCCTTCATTTCCCCCTCCCCGTCGCCTTCATTTCCCCCTCCCCGTCGCCTTCACTTCCCCCTCCCGTCGCCTTCACCTCCCCCATTTCCCCCCTTCACGCTCTCTTACCCCCTCTGCTCGCCCCTGTTTTCCCGGCTCACTCCTATACTCACTCTCTCCCTCCCTGCTCACTCTCTTCCCCCCTGCTCACTCTCTTCCCCCCTGCTCACTTTCTTTCCCCCTGTTCTCATCCCTCTTTCCCCCTTTCTCACCCATTTCCCCCCTGCTCGGTCTATTTCCCCCTGTGCTCGCCCCTAAAATCCCCTGCTCACTCCCTTACCCCTTGTTCACTCTCTCCCCCTCTGGTCACTCTCTTTCCCCCTGTACTCACCCATCTTTCCACCCTGTTTACTCTCTATTCCCCTTTGTTCAACCCTTTTTCCCCCCCAAGTCCTCTCATTTCCCCTCCTTAGCCCCATGCTTACTGGCTATCCCCTTTGCTCACCGCCTTCTCCACCCTGCTCTGCTCACTCTGTTCCCCGCTTCGCTCACTCCTCTGCCTAACTCCTCCCATACATGCCCTCCACCTTCACCCCTCGCTTATTCTGCCATATCCCCTCTTCCCTCCCCGTTCCATACAGAACCATGCGTGTACAGGTGCCAGCACCATGGGTCCCAACAGGAGTGGGTTAAAAAGTTACCACCTCCTAGCTTTGTGCTTGTTCTTATAGTCTTGTCTTGGCAACATAAATGGAACATTATTTTGCTTTGTTGCACTTTTTCATAATGCTCCAAATCACGATGTGGTGTATTATGAGACGCATCCAACCAACTTCAATAACGGTACATGGCATAGCTATTGTAGACAACTAATATTATCAAACCCTATACTCATCACAACTGGATGCATGGCAGACCTGCACAGACACGAACCACAAACTCTGATGGAGGGTGGGGAACAAAGAATGCACGGAGGCAGAAAATGAGTAAGGGAGACACGGAGGAAGGGCGGAAGGGTGAGCGAGATGAAGCGTGGGTAGGGGAGAGAGAGCACGGAAAGGCACTAAGGCAGAAGCGTGGGCGACGGTGAGAGGATGGGCGGATGAGATGATGGGCGGATGAGAGGATGGGCGGATGAGATGATGGGCGGATGAGAGGAAAAAGTGCGGCTGGGTACAAGGGGGAAGGTAGAAGGGTGGAACGGTGGAGCAGGGTTGGCGTGAGGAAGGGAGTGGGAGAGTGGGAGATGGAAAGGGGAAGGGGGACTGGATCGAGGGAGGATGAGGAGAGGAAGAATGGCAGGAAAGAAGGATGGGAGGAAGGGAGGACGGGCAACAGAGAGGGTAAAGAGGGTAGGGAGGCAGAGAGATGGAGGAAGGGAGGAAGGGAGGACGGGCAACAGAGAGGGTAAAGAGGGTAGTGAGGCAGAGAGATGGAGGAAGGGAGGAAGGGAGAGGGAGAGGAGGACGACTGTGGGGGAACGACGGAACGGAGTAAGGGAGGAGGGCAGGAGGTAAAAGTGTGGTAGGGTATAAGGGTGGAACGGGGGATAGGAGGATCCCTGCACCCTCTCTCCCTAACCCCCGCCTCCCCTGCCCCGCCTCCCCCGCTCCTCTGACCCGCCCCCTGCAGCACTGCACTCCTTGCTGCCCGCCTGCACGCGCTGCCCTGGCTGTGCGCCAAACACTCTGCTCCAAAGCCGCACCACCACCTGCCATGCGTGTGGGGTTGGTGCGAGAGAGGAGAGGAGGTCAGTGCAAGAGAGAGAAGGGTGGGTGCTGCTGACCACGCACCCTTCCACACCCCACAGCGAACGAGTCACGACCCCTTCCCCAGCTCCCAGCCCAGCTCGCCATACCTCCCCGCCCAGGGTGGGTGAGAGGCTGATGGGGAGGGAGAATGAGAGAGAAGGAAATAAGGGTGCAAGGGTGGGGTGGTAACCATGGGCGATGGTAGGAGTAGAGAAGGTGGTAATGGGGAGAGCGTAAGCGACCTAACGAGGCAATTTGGAAGGGATACAACGACGACCCTAAATGCGATGGGAAGGGATGAGAGGGTGGGCGGCATGGGTGGAGACGCGATGGTGAATAGGGGGAACGTGATGGGCAGGGGAGTGATGACGACGTGGAGAGAGGTGGGAGAGAAGGGAGGTCGGCGGGAAGTCTAACCGAGGGCGATGGGAGGGCAAGCGTGGGCGACAGTGGGGGTGGGCGACGGTGGGGGGAAGCGTGGGCGACGGTGGGGGGAAGCGTGGGCGACGGTGGGGGGAAGCGTGGGCGACGGTGGGGGGAAGCGTGGGTGACGGTGGGGGGAAGCGTGGGCGACGGTGGGGGGAAGCGTGGGCGACGGTGGGGGGAAGCGTGGGCGCTGGTGGGGGGAAGCGTGGGCGACGGTGGGGGGAAGCTTGGGCGACGGTGGGGGGAAGCTTGGGCGACGGTGGGGGGAAGCGTGGGTGATGGTGGGGGGAAGCGTGGGTGACGGTGGGAGGAAGCGTGGGCGACGGTAGGAGGAACCGTGGGCGATGAGAGGGGAATCGTGAGGGAAGGTGGGGGAAGGCGTGAGCGACGGTGTGGGGAAGCGTGGGGGAAGGCAGGAGGAAGCGTGAGCGGAGGTAAGGGGAAGCGTGAGCGACGATGGGGGAAAGCGTGGGCGACGGTGAGGGGAAGCGTGGGCGTGTGCGTGGGGAGGTGTGTGAGAGACAGTGGGGAGAAGCGTGGGGGACGCGGAAGGCGATAGGTCCAAATGCGATGTTTGGGGATGGGCTAGGATTAAATGTGAAAATGCTCATGGCCTATGCTTTAGTGGCTTTTTATTCTATCTCTTCGCATGATCTAATCGCTTCGCGTACTATGGAAATCGCACGACCTGAATTACCAAAGGAGGCAAACTGTGCACATTTTGAGCCCTTGTTCCTTCAGGTGGGTGTGGTTGGGACTCTCACCAACCAAACCCGTTCTGCTCTACGACACTCTGTTTTTTGGCGCTTTGTTTTCTGGTAACCAGCCTGGCTCGGGAGGTCAACTGTGGGTTCGGTAGGCAAACTGTGCACAGTTTGCCTTCCTTTTTTTGTAATTCAGGTCTTGGGCTTTAACTGCATCTCGCCTGGTGAAGCCGATCTTGCTCGACCCAGCTATTGTCCTGATCTCCACAGGAAGTGCCAGGGAGGAATGGATCTGCACCCAGATTTGCTGCGGGAAAGCGCATGGGATGCTGTTTGTTTCTGCTGCAGAGCACATCACTGCTTCGCGTCATCTGCACGGACAAGGAGAGTTGGGTGCGGTTATTCGCCTGACAAGGGAAAAGGAGAATCTGCATACGGTTCGCAAGGAGTATGGAATTTAACAGATCCGGACTGGCTTACCATGTCGATATCGGTTGGAGCGGCGGTTGTTGCTGTTTTCTGTCTTACCTGCCTGTGGATGCGTAGAGGCAATCAAGGAGTTATTAAATGAATACACGGAATGCCTTGACGTTTGCGGGCCTGAATGTCAACGGCCTAGGAGATTTCACGAAGCGGAAACGCACAACGGCATGGATTAACAGTAGAAAAGGAGTTGATGTCATGGTCTTGTCGGACACCCGTGTTGCAGATGATCACACTTACTGGTCCTCCCTTAACCTCACTTCCTTCGCCGCCTCCTCGTCTGTGACCCGAGCTGGAGGGGTAGCAGTCCTCAGCAGGCGAGCGGATCTCTCCTTTCATAACCCACTAGCTCACCCCTCAGGAAGGCTTGTCAAGACAGAAGTCCATTGCTCAGACCTTCGCCTCACCCTGATAGCGACCTATCTTCCTGCAGACAAAGCGGAAAAGAGAGCATTCATTAGAATTGTTCTTAGCCCAATCTTACGCCTTATACCACCAGGCTCTCACCTGCTTATCCTAGGAGACCTTAACACTATTGAGAACCCACTGCTAGACAAGACTTCAAAGAAGGGTTCAACCAGGGAAAACGACTTTCTCTTCCACCATTGCTCGGCCTTTGCCATCTCAGACGCCTTCCGCTCACTTCATCCATCTGAACGGGAGTTTACCTTTTTTTCTCAGGCGCACCAGGAGAGCTCAAGGATTGATCGAGCATTGGTCTCTCAGTCTCTGCTCCCACGCCTGGTGTCAGCATCGCATGTCTCGTCGGATGAACCAGTCTCTGACCATGGGTTCGCCATCCGTGTAGCATTCAAACTCAAGTCGCAGTTGCAGTTGGGGCCGGGGCTTTGGCGTTTTCACCCTTCACTGCTGTGCAGGCCGGGAGCTAAGAAAAGGATAGAGGAGGTTGATCGGTCTGTCATGCGAAATGACGGGAGCTTCGCAACCCTCATCTCCCGCCTGAACGCCAGTTTACGGACATATGCAAAGGAGGAAAGCAAACGGATCAGAGCGACCATTACTCATCTCACCAAGGCAGTGGCTGCCTTGCGGCAAGAATTTATGCAGAATCCGAAAGACCAAGTGCTGAAAGAGTTGCTGAGGAAGAAAGAGCAGCAGCTTAAAGAATACTTCGCGTGTCGGCGGGACAGGATGCATACCATGGCTGGAATGGAGGCGGCGCTGTCAGGAGAGGTCCCCTCACCGCACCTGTCAGCGAGAATTAAAACACGGAAGTCCAGGACGCTGATATCCGAGGTGTCAGTGATGGGTGGAGTGGTGTCGGAGCCAAAACACATCCTGAAAGCAGCATCGGATTTCTTCCGTGATCTGTTCGGGGAAGATAAGCGAACGGCAGCTTTGGACTGGAACCCAGCGGCGGGGAAGAAGCTTTTTTACTCTGACGCGGAAAGCCTGCAAGAAGATTGGACGGAAGAGGAGGTCAGACAAGCGCTGAAGGAGATGGCTTGCAACAAAACACCAGGGAAGGATGGATTACCGAAGGAGGTGTTTGAGCAGCATTGGGATGTGCTCGGGAAGCATGTCATGGCGTTGGTCCGAGACTTCACGGCCACCTCCTCACTCCCGGCCAGTGTCAAGGACGCGGTTACGATTCTCCAGCATAAAAAGGGAGAAAAGGAGCAGTTGGAGAATTACCGTCCCATCACGCTGCTTAACATGAGCTATAAGGTGCTGGCGCGGGTTCTGGCAAGCAGAATTAAGAAGGTACTGCACAGGGTAATCTCGCAGGAGCAGTACGGCTTCATCCCGGGGAGGAGAATGTCTGATGCGATGGGGCTGGTTGCGGATGTCATTGATGCAGCTAAGAACGGGAGTGAAGACTGGTTCATGTTGCTAGTCGACTTCAAGAAGGCGTTTGATTCGGTTTCCCGGGACTACATCTTCGAGGTGATGGAGAAAATGGGCTTCCCGGCTCGTTACATTGGTTGGGTGAAGGGCCTGCACACGAACACGCGGACAAACTTGCTGATTAATGGCTGGCTAGGGGAGGCAGTGGAAGTAGTCTCAGGGGTGAGGCAAGGATGTCCCTTAGCGCCTTACCTCTTTCTGTGCGCGGTTGAGCCTTTGGCGCAGAAGGTGGTGAAGAGGAAATTGGGGATCTCCCTTACCAGCTGCGTCGACCAACGATTGGCGTACATTGGCTATGCTGACGATACGACCCTCCTGCTGCAAGGGAAACAACAGATTGGTAGGGCTGAGGAGGTGTTGGAAGCTTTTAAGAAAATCTCTGGCCTGGAGACGAACAAGGAGAAATCGGTGGTGTTGCCGTTGGGAGGTAACCTGAGGAAGACGGCCTGGCGCTCAAACGGTTTTCGATGGGCGGGCGCGGATGAAGCGGAGAGGCTCCTTGGGGTATGGGTCACGCCGAGCGGGAGCTGTCAGCCGACGTGGGATAAGGCGCTGCAGAAAATTGCTGGGAAGATGGCATTGTGGCAACCGCAATACCTCCCGATTAAGGCTCGAACGGCGGTGATGGACGGGTACATCCTGCCGATTGCGTGGTCTCAGGCTCAGGTTTATCCGCCACCTGCGCAAACCTGGAGCGTGATCACGAAAATGACACACAACTTTATGTCAGCAAACAAGGTCACGACAGAAAAATGTTTCCGCCTCTGGAGCAAGGAGCTGTTGTTCACCCCGGTACTGGAAGGAGGGGTGGGGGCGAAAAACCCGGAAACAATGCTTACCTGCCTGACCGCCAGGAGGATAGAGCTGGTACTTACGGAAACGGATCAGCTGAAGCGGGAGCTGATGCGTCGGGCAGCAGATCTACCACGGGGGCTGGAGACGTTCATGGCGCATGAAAGAATTCTGAAATCATGGGAGGGGAAAAGCCAGCGCTGGAAATTGGCGTGTGCGAATTTTATGCGCTCCCCGCTTGCGGAGACTACGGAAAAACGGGAGACTAAGGAGCTGATGTTGGAGAGGATTTCGTTTAACAGGCACATCCTCCTGAAGGGCACCACGCCGGTGGGGGGGCAAAAAGCAGCGAAGCAGCTTCTTGGTGTCAGACTTGGGGACCTGATAGGGAGAAACGCGGAAGGATGTGGAGTGCTGAAGAGCCTGGAAACCCTGGAGAGAGAGCTGCGGGGGAAGGACACAGCTAACCTAGCGCTCAAAGCATTCGCAGCAGTGCCAGAATCATGGAGGAAGCAGCTCCTCTCAGCCGAGCTTCCGAACGTGGGGTTTGCGGAGGAGTTTGATGTGGGAAGGAAAGGTCCTCTGCAGCTTCAATTGAAACTGTTGGCGGAGGGGGAAGCAGTTCCACTGCGGTCGCTCAGGAAGCACTGGAGGCATGGCAACAACGGAGTGTCTAGGCGGGAGAAGTGGGAGAGCCGATGGGGTGGCAACATTGATTGGAAGCGGGTGGTACAGATTCGTGAATCACTTGTTACCCCAAGCCGTCCGAGAGATGTGTTGCTGCGCATTCACTGCCTCAATCTGCAAGTCGGGGAGAGATTAGAATTTCTCAGCAGCAAACCGGTCTGTCCCCACTGCGGCGCTTTTGAGACTCTGGAACATTGCCTCTTGGATTGTCCGAAAATTCAAGGGGTGGTTTCGGCGATTAAAAAAAAAAGCTTTACGGATGATCAACCCGGCCAGGAAAGGGGACACACTCGGTGATTGGCTGTTTGGCAAGGCGGGCTCCGTGTCAGCATTTCCAGAGGCTTCGTTGGTAGCGATTGGCCTCCATCAGCTGTGGGCGGAACGGTGCGAGGGGGCATTCAGAGGCTGCAAGTTCCGCACGCGGAGAGTTCTTCGGAAGATTGAGTCAGCTCTCCGCATGCATGTGAACGTTTATGCGCGTGCCTCGGTGGCGAGGATGCGGCAGTGTGGGAGAGTGAAGTGCGCCAGGTGGCAGAAAATGACGGAGCAGGAACGTGTTCTTCTGAGCCGTATCAGAGTGGTGGATGGCAAAAGCTGGAAGTGGTCTAACAGTTTCGCGGCAGTTTGGGGCAAACCACGCAGGCCCCGGATCCATGTCTGAGGATCGAATTCTCTGAGGCGGGACTTCTCGTCTCTCATGCACAGTTACGACTGTTTATGCATTGTACACTTCTGTTATGGTGTATAATTCATATAAGCAAAAAAAAAATGTAGAATTAGACTCTCATCATATTTGCCTTCTGTTTCTACGCGTTCCATTGAAATTGTAATCAGGTTTCATCGAAGGTGCATAGGCGAAGACCTCTATAATGTATATAGTATTATGTGTAGATACATATATGGTATCAAGAACCACTATTTGAGATGCTCACTGCGATATATAATCAAGTGACTAATCAAAGTTCCTAGACTCCTAGTATAGATCTGTTAGTGGTTGGCGAGCCCTCTTGGGAGATGGCGAGACACCATTCTTACCCACAGCTATGCTCATCTGACAGACTTTATCGCCATGTCCG